AGAGAGTTGCAGGAATCACTGCCATGGTTTAAACAAGCCCGGCTCCAGCTGAAGCCGGTCCTGGTTTAAATTCCTCCTTGCTAGAACTACAGCTGTCTTTGTCATTAATTGTTTTGTCTCATGAGATGTTGTGTTATCACAATCAACGTCACTGCACACTGGGCATTCCCATGCGTGCACAGACCTTAAATGCCTCAGCTGCTCCAAGGTACTTCTACCAATTGTTCCCTAAAGAGATTGGTTATAATGTCCCCTATCTCGGCCTCTAAGGCGGCATAGCTGTGCCTCACCGTGCTTTACTGCCAAGTCTTTTTAAGGACACCTTCAAGTCTTCACTCAAAGCATTTGGGATGAATGACACCAATTGGGAGGCTGTCTCTCAAGACCGAAATGCATGGTGTGCAGCTCTACACAAGGGTCTGTGAATATGCACGTGTGTGTGTATGTATATATATATATGTACCCTTGTAAGTGTGTAACTAGATAAAGTTGATTAAACTAGTTTGTATTTACAGAATTGCTGCCAGGGATAGAGGAGTTTCTCACCATCACCCTGGCATCGGAGAATCTCTCTAATTTCGCTGAAGAGAGAAGAAAGTTCTTCATTGAACGCTTGGATATCATCAAATTACCTCCGTCATTACCACCTAGAGAAGGTAATTTATTTGGACATCTCATATTAAACAGGATCTATTGTTGAGGCAGCTTCATTAAAATTATTTCTGATAGTCAAGGACAATGAGATTTTTGTTTTTGTTTTTTTAATTTTTATTGTGCTGCAGCTTTTTAAATACTCCTTTCTTCCTCTTTTTTTTTTTAACTGTCTCTACGTCTTTCTTTCCACTCTTCCATCTGTCTTTTAGTGTGTGTATATTCTTTTTGTTCAAAGAACAGGAGACATTTTTTCATAATTAGGTTTATTAGGACTCTTACAACATAACACAGAAGCGAAATTTAAAAAAAAAAGTAAAAAAAATTGTAAAGCTGTACATGTGTGCCAGGTCACCTTGGAATTACAATTGTCTTGTCTAATCTTGCTGAATAGCAGGGGTATTTTGATACTCGATCAGATTGACACTTGATAAGATATCAGGAGGAAGAATGGAATGTGTTTTGTTTACTGACACTGTGGTCAACATTGAGATCATGTGTTAAAAGACATCCCAGGTAATAAATGAACTGGTTTTCTAGTCTTGTGATGGCTTTCATGAGAGTCGCAAGATTGCATGGTCGTCATCTGTCAGCAGTCAAAAAAAAGTCAAAGTCCCTTTTCCAAGCCTTTAGGTGTACAGGGCAAATAGGGATAGACCTATATTTTTGTAGCCCAGTCGGCACAATTAATATTTTCTGTCCAAAAGCACAGTGAAGATCAAAATCTGTTCTTGAATTTAAAGAAAACGAAAATAATGTCCACAGATAAAACTGGCTATCACCCAAAAAAAGAAAAATGGTGAAGAGATTGAAAATGTTACAAACTTTGAATATCTAGGCTTTAATAAATAGGAGACTGTTTGACAGAAATTAAAAGAGAGATGGCCATAGCAATTACAAGATTAAACAGTCTAAAAACAGTGACACAAGTCTTAATTCATATGCTGGGGAGAGGCCTTCATACTTTATTATTTGCGGAAGATAGGCATTTTCAATTATAACAAATATATTCCTCATGGATGAAAAAACTGACACTGGGCAATGATAAGCCTTAATTACTTCAGAGGTCAGCGGTTAATTACAGGGTTAGAATGTTTCACATAAAGCTACTATAACGTAGTTTTTAAGATTGTGATTAAGCCTATTTTTAAATGTCATGAGAGTCACTTGGTTCATAGTAAATGATATCATATGCAAGGCTTTGTTGAACCAGGCGACGTCCATTTGCTTTTGCTATGAACCCCCATGAACCCCTTCGTCTGCCTCTCAACGCAGATTCATCTGTATAGATAATGACATCACTTGGGTGGGAATTGTCATGAATCATTTGTTGAACTTCTTCTCTGCAGCACCAGCTGGCCAGTCCCTGCACTTACAACCTGAAGTGATTAGAACCCTACACAATCTGAAACTTTGTTTGGACACCATGACCAACTCCTCTCCTCGCCCAAATTTGTCAAGCCTGCACACATCTCAAAATGTGTCTTCTGCTTGCACCATCCAAGACCTTTCTCTTTTCAGTCTGTGACCCTGAGCTCTACACAGGGCTTCATGCAGGAGGTACTTCTTGTCTGCAGCTACTCTGAGATATGACTTTGCCTGCAGAACTTTGAGCCTATTTGCAGTAGTAGGCAATGCAAGTATACTCTTGTTCATTCTGGCTTCATTCTGTATGCATTCAAGTTTCATTAGCTGACTCTTTGATATGGTAAGCATTCCAAGCCTATATTCAGTCACCGACAGTATCACATGCTGGAACATTGTGAACAGCATTCTTTGCTCCATGTCTATTGATGCCATAATCTTGAGAGGATTAAGTTCTTTTTTGGCATTTCAGTGCAACTGCCTCCACATGACCCACGTACCTCAGTTTGCTTTCTCTTTTGATGTTGCTGCTATTAATTGTGAGGCTAGGAACATTAGCTCTTACAATTCTATTGTCCAGAGAGCACCCTAAAACAGCTGCCTTTTCTGAATTGATTACAGCACCCATTTCTGCACACCAGTCAGCCACTTTGTCTGCAGATGCCCGCAGCTCTTGGGCTAATCGTTGTCTATCACTTCCCTGCCTATATGCAAGCACATCATCGGCAAATGTCAATAGGCTTCCAACACCTGGTGCTTCCAGTTCTGCAATTCTACTTGTGTACACAGTGAAGAACACTGGTGAAATCGCAGAACTCTGGGGTAGTCCCGGGGCGATTTCACATTGTTCTGAGGTTCATGTACCCAGACAAAGGGCAACCATACGTGAATGCAGGACAGCTGCTGTCCAGTTCATAAGCCAGAGACAAACACCCTTCTCCATGAGTGCAGATATCAAAATATCATATCTGACTCTATTGTAGGCATCCTCAATATCAACCGTCTCCAGTCTGTTCTGTAACCTCTTAAAAGCAAAAGTAGCTGCTTTTGATCATGTATCTTTCAGTTGCTGGTAACTACCCAAACATTTTGGCAGGAGCTCTTCGCTTTCCAAAATCATTTGTAGTTTAACAGCAATTATCTTCTCTAGCACTTTGCCAAAAAATATTTGTAGGGTGAAGCCATTTAGTCTAGAATGACTTTTGCCTGGTTTTGGAAGTGGGATTAGGAAGCTGTGTACCCACTCCTGGGATACTGAAGCTGTTCTGATGCTCTGGTTGAAATTAAATGCCATCTCCCTCAAGTTTTTATCATTCATGCTCTTCATGTGGGCATACCTGACTTCGCCTGGCCCTGGGACAGTATCTTCTGCTTTTTGCAATACGTTTTATATCCCCCACCCTAATGATATCCTGAAAATAATTATAACTGATAGTTTTATACAGATTATCTCTAACTGAATTTCTAACCTCTTTAAAAATACTTCCCCTTTCTTTTTCTCTGTTTGTCATTGGTATAGCATTATCAGTGTAAATAATGCCTGTTGTAATAGGCAGATCCTTCCTTTGCATCTTTCTTTGCAGTTTCCAAAACCTACTCAGTGATTTATCCCTTCCAATTTCACTCATAAAATGTTCCTATTAAGCCTTTTTTTTTTTTTTTTTTTCATTAGCTGCACACTGCATGAACTTTTCTACTTTGTCTTTTCTGTCTCTTTCTAGCTTCTCTACATCCTCTTTTAACCTTTAATGTGCCTTTCACACTTTCTGTAATTGTTCAATTGCTGCTCGCTTTGCTCTCCATGCCTGTTCTGCTTCTTGGGTCCACCATGGAGGCTGCACAAAAGCAGAAGTGGTAGTTGCCACTGTTGAAATAGGCAGATCATTCCTTTGCATCTTTCTTTGCAGTTTCCAAAACCTACTCAGTGATTTATCCCTTCTAATTTCACTCATAAAATGTTCCCATTAACCCTTTTTTTTTTTTTTGCATTAGCTGCACACTGCATGAACTCTTCTACTTTGTCTTTTCTATCTCTTTCTAGCTTCTCTACATCCTCTTTTTAACCTTCAATGTGCCTTTCACACTTTCTGTAATTGTTCAATTGCTGCTCGCTTTGCTCTCCATGCCTGTTCTGCTTCTTGGGTCCACCATGGAGGCTGCACAAAAGCAGAAGTGGTAGTTTTGCTGCATGCCTTCTGTCGAAAGTGTTCAAGAAGGGTACTGGCCCTCTCATACTTAAAGTCTTGCGCGTTCTCATAGCTCTGATTTTTCAAGACTCAGCGGTTTCAGTATTATCACCCTACAAAATACTTTTGACAAGGTGCTAGAGAAGATTACTGCTGGTCATCCTTGTAGATTACAACAGACATTTCCTGCAGCGGATGGAGGAGATGATAAGAGGTGACATGTGAGTAATGGTTGACTCTGTAGCAGCTGCAATAGGGTGCTCACAGGGTCCCTCATACACGAAAACCCACCTTGGTAAGAGACATTTCATAAATGACGCAGAAGCTGAATGTGAAGTGAAAATGTAGTTCAGAAATTGAGCATGCAGTTCTGTGCAAAATGTTTAGGAGGACTAATTCAATGATGCGGCAAGTACATAAATATTGAAAAATGATGTTGAAAAATAAAGAGACAGTGTATGTGTAAAAATAAATGGTTTTCAAGTTATCATATTAGTTTTTATTTTATTTTTTAACAACTATTTGTGTCCTACTGATTGACTTCCTCTCATACAAACTGAGAATTTTGACTGCTTCAGACTGTGAAAGTGCAGGTGAAACTGTAAGCAGAGACAGAATGAATTATTAGCTGCAAATTGAGATGACAAAGGCGTGATTACAAATAATAGAGAAAAATATTTTAGCAAACAAGATTAACCACAAAATTTAAAAAAAAATTGTTTTCTATGCTATGCATATTATTTTTGAGTTTGCATTAGCTAATCTGTATGCTTCATGTTTTATTAATATTCTGTTTAGGTCGTGTGTTGCCTGCTGAATTACTGAAGGAAACAGAAGAACAAAGTAGCACACCAGCAAACCAAAATACAACAACAGACTTTGCAGCTACCCAACGACAAATATCCAGATCATATATTGACTCAAACAAATTAGCAGAAGATGTAGAAGATGAAAGTGAAACTCCTTTACCTAAGGTAAACTTGTCAGCAGAAATACTAGCTGTCATAAACTTTGTTAATATTAAATTTCACTGATGAAAATAGAATGAGAGAATGATGAACAAACACAGTCAGACAGGCAGATTGTCTGAAAACTGACTTACAGACAGTAAAAAAGTAAATATATGGTAAAAGACTAGATGACTGATGTACATCCAAAGACATGGCAGTGGTACATGGCACCACTCCATAAGACAACTAATCAAATAGATCACCTACATATAAATAAAAAGTTTAGATCATTCTTTTATGATATGGTTGCTTTCAGAGGTGCCAGTGCATTTATGGACCATTTTCTGTTTGTAAGTAAAATCAGTTTGAAACTGAAAGATATATAATATACTAAAAACCAGTGTAATGTAGGTTATCTCAGAGATAAAGCAGTTAAGGAACAATTTTCAATTACAGTCTCTAATAAGTACCAGGTGTTTCAGCATTTAGCTGAATGAAGAAAACACTAAAGTCTGCTAGGATCAGATCAAGGGAATCTGGAATGAACCCTGGTAAGAATGAACAGAAACATAAAGTTTTGATAACACCAGAAACCATTAAAATGATAGAGAAAAGGAAAAGCAAAAAAGCAGATTCAAAAGTAGCAAAACTAGCGAAGCTAAAGCTAGAGCTCAGGAAAAGTACACAGAAGCCAGTAAGGAAATTAGGGGCATCTTGTCATGACCATCTCCACATGGTCCTTAAAGGACAAGCTCCTTTCATGTGTGATTCCAAGATACTTCAGTTTTCTCTCTCTGTTGACATTTCCATCATCTATCGTGAGATGTGGGACATCAGCTCTACCGATCCTCTTGTCTAAAGAACACTACAAAACATAAATCTTTTCTTGGTGGACGACAGGCCTTATTCTGTACACCAGTCAATCACTTTTAATAATATCGCTTGTAGCTCCCAGGCTGTTTGTTCCATCTCTCTCCCCTGCCTGAATGCGAGTATATCGTCTGCAAATGACAGAATCCTGGAAAGAGAAAAGCTCCTAAAAAAAAAAAAAATGTGGGTAGTTACTGGCCACAGAAAGATATATGGTCAAATGCAGGTACTTTTGCTTTTGATGTGTATGAGGGATTCCAGAACAGAAAGGAGATGGTTGTGGCAACACTTGATATTGAGGATTCCTACATTAGAGTCAGATATAATATTTTGATATCTGCGCTCATTGAGAAGAGAGTTTGTCCCTAGCTTGTGAACTGGATAGCAGCATTCACGTATGATTGCCCTTTACCTAGGTACATGGACCTCATAACCATGTAATATTGCCCTGGGACTAACCGGTTCAGCAATTTCACTAGTGCTCTTCAATGTATACATGCAAGAATGCAGAACTTGGAGCACCAGGTGTTTGAGGGATATTGACCTTTGCATAAAGGCAGGGGAGTTATAGGCAACAGACAGCCTAAGAGCTACAGGTGACTGTATACAAAGTGACTGACTGGTGTGCAGAGATGGTTGCTGTCATCAACTCAGAAAAGGCAGCTGTCTTATGGTACTCTCTAGACAAAAGAATTGTAAAAGCTAATGATTCAAGCCTCACAGTTAATGACAGAAACATCAAAAGAGAAAGCACACCCAGGTATCATATTCAGAAGCCTGTCCTTTAGGGGTCATTAGAAGACAGTTGCAGTGAAATGCTAAATAGGAATATGGCAGCAATAGACATGGAACAAAGAATGCTGTTCACAATGTTCCAGCATGTGATCTGTTGTTGATAGATTATGGACTTGGAATGCTTACCATATCAAAGAGTCAGCTGATGAAACTTGAATGCATACAGAATGAAGCCATTTGGGTAATTCTGGGATGTACACAATAGGATGTATGTGATATATATACTTGCACTGCCAACTTTTTAAGAAAGACCCACAGTTCTGTAAGCAAAGTCTTATCTCAGGTAAGCTGCAGACAAGAAGCACCTCCTGCATGAAGCCCTATGTATAGCTAAGGGTCACAGACTGAAAAGCGGAAAGTCTTGGATAGGGCAAGCTGAAGAAACAATTGTATGCAGGCTTTATAAATTTTGGTAAGGAGAGGAGTGGGTCAGAGCAAAAATCAGACTTGTGTAATGTTCAAATACCTTTAGGTTGTGAGTGCAGGGACTGGCCAGCTGGTGCTGCAGAATCATAAGCTCAACATATGGTTCATGACTATTCCCACCCAGCTGATGTGATTATCTGTACATATGGCTCTGTTTTGAGAGGCAGACAAAGTGCATAGGAGTTCATAGCAAAAGCATTTGGAGGCCGTGTACTGCAACAAAGCCTTAGATATGATATTATAACCTCTAGTTTGAGAATGAAGGTGTAGGCAGTCACTGCTGCCTTCAGCTGTATACACATGCCATATTTGTAACTGACTCACATAGCAAGGTGGAGACAGGAATGCTTCATGCAGAGTGGCATACATTGCTTCAGAGGTCCTGACCCTTAGGCATTGGCAAGGTCCAACCATATCACGTGCAGTTCTTTTTTCTCTGTCTTTGCCCTCTGAATACTCTTCCAAATCATAGACGCATGCTCAAGGCATCCAGGAATGCCTGGATTACCCTCTTTCTGTGCAGATGTGTCCATATACTTGTTCTACATCAAGTAATTTGTGAATCTGCTTGCTATAACTGAGGAGAATATTTTACCCTCAACATTTAGCAGCCCAATAGGCATTAATATATTAATTAATATTAATTGGGACAGATCAGAGGAGTCTCGTTCCCTGAGAATGTAGACTCTGTTGGACCTCTGCTACTCCTTACATATTTACTTGCAGCTGTGAGGATAAATTCAGGACAGTGTGTATATACCACACACAGGATATACAGGAGTCCTGGACAGATTTGCTGCTGGATGTTTCTTCGACCTAAGACTTTGCCTTTCCTCACCTCAGGACAATGAGAAATTCCTGCCTGTCATCTTCAGGTGCAGCCAGACATACAGTCCCTCCTGTTCGCTGCCTGTAGCTTTTTTGAACCAGTTGCATAGTGCATTCTTGTCTGCCCTGCACTTCCCAATATTACTCTGCCTCCTGCTTTTCTCATGCTGGATGCCCACTTTCATCTTCTTTACTGTCCTGATCACGGGAACAGTGAGAGTAAATTATGTCACCAAACTGTGTTAGCTTGTCCTCTAGCGATGATTTCTCAAATTCAACATTAATAACCTTACATAAAGAACCTTTCAGTAATGGTAGGCTAGAGATGATAATAATGCCTAAGGCATGGACTGCAGGAGGTTCATCATTGGTAGTAGTTTGCATAAAGTGTTATACGTTTCATTTCAATTAATTTCAAAAGCAAATGTATTGATGAATCTCCAATAAAAAATATTTTTTGTTTGTTTGCAGGTTGTCAAAGAATATGATGACATAGATTCATTGGGCAGGTGAATATTTATCACCCCCCCCCCCCCCCCCCCCCCCCACCCTTTTTTCCATCTCCCTTTTATGTGAAACGTTTTGAAACATTTTGTGAATCACATACATATTTTTAGTTTACCTTTCTCAGTAACATTATTTTGCAAGGAAAATACGTTATTGTCTGGCAATGTGTGTTTGTGTGCATGTTTGACATAACCCAACAAGAATAAATTGCAGATTAGGCAGTCACCCAAATATAATGCACCAGATGCTGATAGATAACCAACAGAAATAATCCAAGCAGCAGGTGAAAGCAACATTAGATGGCTCTATGGAATATTCAATGAAGCATGGGTACAGCAACTGCTCCCAATGACTGGCAACATGCAATAGCTGTACCATTGTGGAAGATTGAGGGAAGCAAGCAAGTATGCAATCAATATCGAGGCATCTCTTTTTTAAGTCATTTTGGGAAAATGTATGCTAAGATAACAGAAATGAGGCTACGACCAGTGATAGATCCACAGTTGACAAAAGAACAGATGGATTTCGGAAGAAATAGAAGCTACACAGATGCAATCTTCAAACTTATACAGTTAATAGGAAAGAACATTGAATATGATCAGAACCTACTTGTAGCATTTGTAGACCAGGAGAAAGCTTACGACAGGGCCATTAGACATAAATTATGGAAAGTAATGGCTCAATATGGAGTAAGTGAACACCTCACTGAAGTTTGCAAAAGCTTATATAGCAATTGTAGAAGCGTAGTTAGAATAAATCAGGAAACGTCTAAACCATTTAAAATAACATTCGCAGTAAGACAGGGATGTGTCTTATCACCACTCCTGTTTATCACCTACATTGACAATATAAGCAATGATGCCAGGCACAGGAACGAAAATAATAGAAACATCAACGAATTAATCTTTGTTGATGATCAGGCTGTGATTGCAGATACAGCCATGAATTTGCAACATCTCACATCCATGAATGATGAATGTAAATTAAATAATATGAGAATCAACATATATTAAACAGGCATCTGAGTTTAAAAATCTTGAAACAAAATTCACTGAAGATGGTAAATTGGATGAAGAAATTGACATACAATGCAGTAAAGCTGGCCAACTATTGGGACACCTACTCTCCCTCTTACAGAGTATGGCAATCCCAATCGGAATAAAGTGACATCTCATACAAAGCATATTTATTCCCACCATATGCTACTAGTGCCAGACATGGTCAGTCACAGCAAAACATAAAAGAAAATTAGTAACCATGGAAATGAGGGGTCTGAGAAAGACTAGGAGTGACCAGAAGAGATAAAATCAGGAATGAGGTCATATGAGATAAAGTCGGCCAAGAACCAATTCTAAATTACATAAAGTTTACCCAGTTGGAGAGAATGCCTTCTGTTGCTATACCACACAAGGTATATACCAAAAAAGGAGAGGGACGTAGAGCAAGATGCAGAGCAAGATGGGAAGATAACATCAGAGAAACTCTTCAGCACCACGTTGAATCTATGGTCGAAGCAGCCAGAAGAACACCAAGCAGGACTTTATATCTCTCTCAACACCCGAAGTGGAAAAAGAATTTGTAAAGAAGAAGATGAAGAAAAAGAAGAAGATAGGTAGAACACACACTATTCTTACTCCTGATTTTACATGGAACCAGTCTTTGAGGTCAACTCTTCTGTTCTGTCGAAGGTTTAACTTTCTTTCTTGATAGATGGCTCATATACAGTCTAGAAGAACAGTGAATATCAGTTAACATTAAGTAGGACACTGGAAGTTTGGAATGTTAAAGGTTTTTTTTTACATAGTTCAGAGAAGAATCATTATCTATACTACAGTTCAGTTAACATACAACAAGACATCTTGATGGCAAATTAGACACTAACATATGCATAGAAAGAATGTAACTGACTTCTTAAAATTGTGAGCTTTTCAAACTGTAGATTTTACTTACACTTTCTTGTTTTATTTCAGCAGTAAAGAAGAAACACATCACAACAGACCACGTCCATTATCTGATGTCAGACTCAATGAATGCAGTGATGAGGAAGACAATGAAGGAAGTGCTTTTTATGAAATTCCAGTGGCTAGGCAGCAGCTGTCTCTTGAAAGTATCAGCCAGTCTCAAGGTGCTGATGGCTTCAGCATTACTTCACCAGAGAGTACAGAAGAACTTCAAGATGATGTTATAGATTCCACCTTGATGCCACCTTCATCTGTCCCTCCACCTCTTCCTCCAAGAAAAGAAATAAGATTTTCAGATTCTGGAAGTCGTAACTCCATCAACTTTGATGACAAACCTCCAGAATTACCCTTTCGACCTCCTCTTCCTAAACGCAATGAGCTCTGCACACATTCAGATAAGTCAGACCGCTCAGAAAAATCAAATAATTCTGATCCAGAACTTTCAGGTGAGATTCATATTTTTTTTTAAAATAAGTACATTTTTTCAGATATTGCTCAGACAGAGTGAGCTGAGAATACTGTAAACTTCCGTAAGCATCGGTATATTTGTTTTCAGCATAATAAATTTAAAAAATGAAAAACATGCGCACACATACAACATTATACCCACACACACCACACCAGTTATGTTTAACAAATTCTTGCACATGTCACTAATACAGTTACAAATAAAAAATATATTTATTTACATTTTTCAAAATGGTAATATATAAAGATATATTACACTATTTGCCAGCCGTGCTCGGAAGGAGGGGCAGGGTTAGAGTAACAACACGATCAAATGACAAGGCAAAACTTTACTGCTAAAGATCTCTCCCTAGGCTCACACAGTTTAGGAGCCTTGTGTTGATGGGAGGAACTAGGACACTATTTCAGTGACCATCTCCTGTGCATAGTGTAGTAATGATGTTGAGCCAAATGGTCAAGAAGCAGCGAGGCAGGAAAATCCAATGTAAAGTGGTGAATTCAATTCAATGTTTTGCTTGATTATTATATGTAGTGTGGCTATCTGGTCATTGCAGGATTTGTTTGCCAAAAACCTGCGTGTTCGTCTCTTAGTATTTTGTCAAAAGCATCTTTAATTCTTTCCAAAATAACCCTACTTAATATTTTACCAGGAACTGACAGCAACATAGTTCCTCTATAGTTCTTAAACTCATGTAGATCATTTGTGTGTGTGTGTGTGTGTGGGGGGGGGGGGGTCACAAGATATCCTTCTCTCCAGTCTACTGTTATTTCTTTGGTCTTTAGGATGTTACTAAATAATCTATGTAGCCATTCCGTTGATGTGTTTATGTTGGTTGTAATAGCTTCTGCTGGAATACAATCTGGACCTGCCACGTTTCCTATCTTCAGAAGATTGATAGCTTTTCTAATTTCTTCTTTAGATGGTATCTCACAGTTGATGTGTCCCGGATACACTATTTATAAAAATCCTGCCAGGCAGGGAAGACAGGGACAATGTTTGCTGGTGTAGAATGGGGTGAAGCATGTGGTTCTTGATCTGAGGCAGTGGAATCATCATACACTAGAGGTTCAGGGCATACAGACAGAAAATGGGGGTACAACCTAGAGTTGCTGTTAAATCTCTTGTCACTAAGAAACATTGGGACTGGCTCAAAGAATCTGAGAAAATTCCAGGTAAAAGGCTTCTCATCTGTGGGGATTTCATTGCATGGAACAGAGCATGAGGCAGCACAAGGGAAAACAGACAAGGAAATGCTTTAGCAGAGGCTATGTTGGATGCAGACGGTAGGCCAACTATAATGTCAATGAGACCTGGTGATGCAGATGCATCAACTGGTTTGGCATTTGTTACTTATCAGCAATGCTGGCACAAAATAGAGTGTCCTAAATGATTATGGTAGTGACCATATGCCATCCACAGTCTTGATTTGTAAAACTAGCAAGATGAAGGTTTAGAGAAATATAAGTGGGTCACTAACCTTCTTTGACACCTTTGACTGAAAGTATGCAGCAGAACCCCAGGGTCAGACAGAGTCAGGTATGCCCATTTGAAAAGCATGAGTGATGTAGACTTGAGGGAGATGGCTTTTTACTTCAACCAAAGCCGCTTCAATAACCTAGGATTGGGTACATAGCTACCTAATTCCCATTCTTAAACCAGACAAAGATCATTGCAGACACAGCGGTTTCAGGATTATCACTCTACAAAATTCTTTTGGCAAGGTCCTAGAGAAGATTGTTGCTGTTAAACTAATGTTTTTTTTTTTTTTAAGGGAAGAGCTCCTGTTAAAAGGTTTGTGTAGTTACCGGACACAGAATGGTCGAATCAGCTACTTTTGCTTTTGAGGGGTTTCAAAACAGACAGAAGACGGTTGTGGCAGCACTTGAAATTGAGGATGCCTACAGTAGTCAGATATGATATTTTGATACCTGCACTCATAGAGAAGGGGGTTTGTCCCTGGCTTGTGAACTGAATAGCAGCTGTCCTGCATTCGCAAATGGTTGCCATTCGCCTGGGTACTTGGATCTCAGAACCATGTAATATCACCCTGGGACTACCCCAGGGTTCTGCAGTGCTCTTCAATGTGTATATAAGCAAGATTGCTTTGAGGAGACTTCGAGCTAAAGCAAAAACTAAAACAACTACAATTGGAGACCTTTTATTTGCTGGCGACCAAGCTCTAAACTCCCCTTCTGAGGCCAGTATGTAGCACATCATAAATAGACTATCGCCTTCCAAAGAGAGTATTTTATGGCGAGCTCCAGCAAGGGTAGAGATGCCAGGGAGGACAGATAAAGTGATATAAGGACACTCGGAAGACTGCTCTCAATTCTTTTGGCATCAACACAGCGACGTGGGAGGCTGCTGCACAAGACCGTTCATGATGGTGTACGTCCCTTAGACATGGTGCATCAACCTGCCAGGCAGCAGAAGCTGCACAGGCAGGGAAATGGAGGCAGACTAGAAAGAATTGTACTGCTAATCCTACACTTACTGCGGCTTCCATATGTTGTCCACACTGCTCAAGAACTTTCCTGGCTCACATTACTAATCAGCCACCTTTGTACTCATAATCATTGATCATTACTACTTTGGATAAAAGTGGTCTTCATCACTCGTGATGGACGAACAACAAACAAGCAAGATTGCAGAACTTCAGACACCAGGTGTTGGAAGGATATTAACATTTGCCGACAATGTTCTTGCAAATAGGCATGGTAGTGATAGGCAATGAATAGCCCAAGAGCTACAGGCAACTAAAGACAAAGTGATTGCCTAATGTGCAGAAATGGGTGATGTCATCAATTCAGAAAATGTGACTGTTTTGTGGTGCTGTCTGGACAATAGAATTGTAAGAGCCTCACAATTAGAGCTGTACCAAATATTCACTTCGTATTTGCTTTGGGGTCAAATAGTGGACCTATCAACTATTTGGTATTCAGCGAATACTTGCAGTCAGGTCGAATACAAATAGTTGTTAGCCTACACCCGCTTCTGCACACACAGCCTTAATCCTGACAACATGGAACAACTGGTTTTATTGTAAGCTAATGCAGATTTCATGCGTCAACTAAGCTGTCAGTGACAATTTCCAAGTTTAGTTGCTTGTTATGATATTTAGGATATTTTTATTCCTTGTTATTAGTTACCATATGTCAGGTCTTGGTCAGATATGACTGAGCTAGCGTATAACAGTAACCGGTACCACCTGTCTTCTGTTACACCGAATGTTGGGCGGCGTATACTAACCCAACATCCCATATTGTTCCAATGGCTTTGGGCGGAGGAGCGCATTGGGGAGGATACTAACCTTATCCTAGGAAGAAGAAATGCAGCCTGAATACTTTGTGCTATGGCAGGGCAGACCAGGCTCTTCATCTTGGCTGGCAGCTGGTCTAGGAGAGAAGCTCCGACAGGCAGGCAGACAGAGCCACTGCTCTTCTGATCCGGCAGCTTTTGCAACCTGCCTCATTCCAAACGTACTGGTTTTACCTTTCCTTTGGAGTAAACAAGGCAGGTCGAGGGAGGGATCATTATGCATGGGCAACATATGGTCTTTACAATACTGCCCAGGCTTTGTGCTATGGAGCGGAGGAACTTCATTCGTGGCCTTAATCAGTATTAGAGAAAATAGAAGTAAGGACTGGTTTAAAGCAAATAGCCAGACACTCCAACCTTTAATTGACAGGTATCCACAAGAATCCAGTCCAGCAGATTTGGCCTCTCTCATCAACATTCTTTTCAGTCCTAATTATCAGAATTCAAAATTTCTTTTTTTAAATATTTTTTTTTCCGAATGTCCATCAATTGTTAAATTTACTGTCATGCATTTTTTACCTTACTAAAAGTCATCTTCAAAAAGCAGCCTATCTTGTCTTTATTCTTGAAGGTGATGGAGACAGCACTAGCTATGAATCATTTGAAGAAGGTGAACATTTGGACACAGATATAATGAACAAACTGAGCATCCAGCTACCAAAGTAAGTATAACTGTTAGTGTAAATCATAACTGTATAATTAAGTTATTTCTAATGTTATTTGTCTATTGGAATCATCTATATTCTTACCTGCAGGCCTAAATGTCATGCATTCAAATCTGCATCCAGGCAAATTTTTATCATTTAACTTAACTGCCCTATGAAGTTTAGGCAGCGAATTTGATGTTGACCACATAGCTCATTGCCAGTTGGTGTATAAAAATCGTGACCTCCGGCAGAAGATTGACCAAACTTGAGAACTTTGCTTATGTTGACCATTTTCGTCCCCACTTCTCCTCCAGTTTTGATGTTGCAAGATTGTGGAAGTCCGGTTTGCAGCCAGAGCTACTGAGTTTGGTGCTCCTGGTGGCACTATGAGCTGTGATTATCGGTTATTGACTGAGTTCCGAATTCGTACATAATGGCAATGATGGGTGATGTATTTTTTCTTCCTTGTGTTCCTGTGGCAAGACGTGTGCTATAGCTGCTTATTTGCTGGCCGTGGCTGCAACTTGGCCGAGGACTTGTGGAGAATGGTCAGGTATAGTTTTAATCTGCTCATCTCCCAGCTATATGAAGTTGATTTTCAGTGACAACGCCTGGTCTCGCAGTGTGTTTAAGGAGGCATGCACCTTATGGTTTGCCAGATCAAATCGTGTGTGTTTTGCTGACTGAGGACACTCTGTATGGCTACGACATTCACTTGAATTATCCAGCGTATCTGACTCAGTTTGTGACTGGAATCACTGGCATAGGCAATTGAGCAATTATGGGCCAAGCTTGTTTGCCATGATGCCTGGACCGTAACGACTAACTAACTAACAAATCAACAAGTGAATGTGTGACTGTATTTAAATTTCCAAGTGATTCTGATGTAATCTGGTAATCTGGTTGATTCTGATGTGAGAGAGAAAGGGAGAAAGTGCATTCCATGTAAAGTAACCAACTAAATACAGCATGTGGTTGTTCATTGTGTCGTCATCATATTCTTCCCTGTGACATAATTCTATCCGATAAATTTACAGATCAATCTGGTGTTGAACATGAGTTATCCAGAAAATATCCTATTTTAAAATCATCTATCTGTTATCAATTGAAGTACCACAAACTTGCAAAATTCCGGAAAAACTGGCATACAAAAAGTCAGTAGATATGAAAACAGAACCAGCCCGTGGCTGTCACTGGATAGTGTACAGGATTTTCAAACTCTGTATGTCAGATTACAGAACAATTAAATTCCTTGTTAGATAAGAACTGAAAATCGTCTAGTTATAGAGTATACATCATGTTGTCTTGTATTGTACACCATCAGTGTGAAAGCAGACATTGCACCATCAATAACCGTAAGTGTAAAAGTCTTACCAGACATGCAGGTAGAAGTGTGTATAGAAAATAAATGGGTTGCTTGTAAAGATCGTGACTGGACTATTCCTAAAACTTAATTGGAAAGATGGTCGAAATTAGAAAATCTACAGATTCATTACAAGGAGATTTACCCTGCAACATCTCTGAAGAGTGTCAGTAAATTATTAGAAGCATGTTGTAACTTAGATATTGCTAGAGAATTGCTGTTACATCTGAGGACACTCATGTACAAACTGAAAAGCAATTAATGTTTATCACAGAGCAGCCACAATAGATTAATAAGAGCAAATATGCTAGGTGCTAAAGCAGTTCTACATTGTTTTTTCTTCTTATATGGTTTTCATTAAATCTCCTGCATGCTACATTTTATAAGAAAATCTTGGTTATTATGTCTCCTGCATCCAAACACATTAACATGTTTAACTTCACCTTGTGCACTGTCTAATGATGATGGCAGCATTTCTGGGTACTTAAAATTTAAAGAGTGCAGGCTTTCTGATTTGGAATAGATTGAAGCCTTGCAGATGGATGATATCAATGTGAAATCAGCTGCAACTCAGCACCAACTTTAATATACAAAGCTCTTAACCCTTCCAGTATAGAGAGAAAGAAAGTTTCACTAGCTCATTAGTGAAGTTAGTACCAATGTGAAGTTAGTACCAACTTAAACACACAAAGCTCTTTATCCTTCCATTATAGAAAGGCGGAATGTTTCACTAGCTCTTGCTATTTTCAGTGAGCACAACATTGTAAGAAATCAAGAAACTACAAATTTTATTCAAGCCATTTGGAGGTGGTGGCATGTTATGAATGTTAATAGTAGATTCTCAGGCAGGAATACTAGTAATACCTTTGCTAGTCCACTTACTTCATAATGAATCTCTTTATTATTTGAAACACTTTCTTCTCTGGTTGTTTCAATGGATTAAGGTGCCAGCATTGAGGGGAAGACTAACAAGAAAGACACACACTGCTTTGTTGCATACTGTTAAAGCTGTGATTGAACTGGCTGTCTATTATTTTTCTACTTTGAATGCGGAATTCTTACTTTTGGGAAAACTACAAACAGATAATTTAGAAGATAGATTTGGTAAATATCAATATTTTTCAGGTACAAATTATTTAGTGTTTGTGAAACAAATGTTGGAAGCAGAAAAGAAATTGAAGATTTGCAATTCACAACTTTGCCGAAGCTGTGAGCAATCAGGAGGATGAGTATCATAGTGTTTTTGAAGATGTAATCCAGTCTGATTAAGACAACGTTTTTTTTCCACACTGATCCTAATGATTGTGAGTTATTTTGTGTTGAAGGCACAGAGGAAGCATTCATTTATATTGCTGGATTTGTCTTCAATAAGATCAGTAGAAAAAAGTTCAATGCATGTCATGTAAGATTTTGCTACAAATGAACAAAACATTAACAGTTGATGTTGGGCCAGATTACTACACTGAGTATATTGAGTTAATGGATCGGGGAGGCCTAAAATACCCTTCCAGGTTGATTACACTGTTGACATTTGTAAGCTACTTTTGTGCATTGTTATATGCAGTATAAGGAAATATTGTGCTGATGGAGTGAATTGTGTGTGTGCTACTGGGTGTCCAAAGTCTTGTATTATTTCTAAAGCACTATCTCTACTGTTTAATGTATTTAAACAATTACCCAAAAAATTCACAATAATAAAATACTGATTTCATCTAACAAGAGGAAACTAGCTAAATGTGCACATTAAATTGCTTTAATCAACACTGATTTGTGTCCTCTCTCATCTGAAACCAGACATATATTTCTATAAACATGCTGACTTGTATATAGTTCCTATAGAGTACAGAGGATAAATATTTAGTAATGCTATAGATTTTGGTGAAATCTGCTCTGGAAGAAAAACTGTTGCTTTCTTATTGACTGTGCAATCCTTTAAGTTGTGCACCTTCATTGTGGATACAATGCAGGATGTTTTAGAGCAGCCTCTGTGTAAGTGGGGGAAAAAACATGTTCATAATTTACTAACCTCTCACAAGAAGTCACTTGCCTCTTTACTAATTATAAACTAACAGTATAGTTTTTATTTTGTAGCAGTATACCAGTATTAACTCTCAACCATTTGTGTTCAGTTCTGTGCGTCTTCTTCTTCTTCTTGGCTGGCTGTAAACTGTGGCAGAAAGTTCTGGTTGTTCATCAGCCTTAGGTCTTTCATCTTGTTCTAGACACTGGTTGTTGTGTGCACATTTGTTTTACAGACCTGACGTTTTGTGCCTCTCAGACAAAGGCATTCTGACTTTGAAGGAAGTCACAATGAGTCGACACTTAGGACCTGCTCATTGGGGAGACAGGGAATCTATTTTTGTTTTCCCCAAAATGGGGCCCTGGAACTCTTGTGTATTTTATGTGTATGTTGTGCAGCATTTGCAACTGTTTGAATGTGCTATACTGTCTTAAGATATATTAACATCTCAAATGCTAACCTCTGTTCTTGTGATGTACTGTTTAATCTTTCCCTGTGGCTTTTTAAAGCCATCTATTCCCAGCATGTTTTCACCTGTCATAAGCTTATTGCAGTGTGTCATATTCACTGGGGGTGGAGTGTCTTTTGAGTTTTCTTGAGTTTTCAATATCAGATATCTGACATACAGAACATTTATCTGCTGTAAACTAGTAAGCGACTCCAAGCTGCAGTCTTAGTATTTTATTAGTGCAAGAAAATTTTAATAAACTTGTTATTTGGCTTTTTCTTGTTGGAGTTTGAAGGCATCCTTCCCTTTAAGCTTCCATTCCATTACATCAACATTATTCTTTCATTGGTTTTTCTATTACTGATTTCAAATCATCCTTGCTTTTAGCTTCAGTTGATAAAAATGAATAACACAGACCAACCTCTCACACTTTCACAAAAACATGAATTTCCATTGATCTATTTGGTCTATTAAAAGCCGCAGAAGGTCATGATAAAATATGAGTTTAGCACCACATGAACAAGCACCAGTGCTGTGTGTGTGAAAGGTCCTTTGCTCTTTTAAATTAATATCAGGGTATATTTATGTAATGTTTTGTTTGTTTTGTTTTGTTTTTGTTACAATAGTATTATTATATTGCGTTTGTTTTAGTTTTTTTGTTCCAATTTTGAAGCACTGTTTAATACCCTATTAAATGTGATGCAACAACTTTTATTATTTGTGTTATCTTAGACTCATTCTATTGATATAGTATCTTTTTTGCTTTCAGTTCATAATTATGCGAACAAAAGGAGAAAATTATGTTGCTTTGTTTTTTTCTACCAGGAAACCAATAAAAAGAAGGGACTTACAGAAGAGTAAAAAACTTAGCAAGTCTCGATCATCCTCTCAGTGGGAAATCAGTGCTCCTTTCAGAAAACTGGAGAATATCAACATCTCTGGTGAGCTGTATTATAAAGGGAAACTCAAGTGGAATCGCAGAATTGTTGCTATTAGTAACGGTTGCCTAGCAATGTACAAACCTGACAAGGAAGCAAGACCATCATTAGTAATCCCCATTTCTGGCTATGAAGCTTATATGAATGAAAGAGAAGGAAGAAGAGGGTTTGAAGTGAAGATGTCACATCCAAACGATGACTCCCATACATTTTCAGCAGATTTTAAAGAGTGGGCTCTCTTATGGATTGAGGTATGTATTTATCAAATTAATAGTGAAATGTCAGCTTCTTGGATTAGCACATCTAGTTTTTGGTAGCCCCATCTGTTTTTTTTTTTTAAACAAATCTCGTTGCTGTTGTTGTTGTTGTTGTGAGCTGACCTATTAGGTAATAACTAGGTTTTATATTAAGTCAGCATGTTTGTATTTAATCACAGTACCTTTTATTTGATCACCTTATCCAGTAGTTGGTCATCATGTATGGTATATGATCATATGTCTGGTGTTAGGTTAGAATGTCTTATATTTTGGTCACCATGACTAACATTTGGTCACCATGTCTGGTATTTGGTGGCCATGTCTAATACTTGTTCATCATTTCTGATATTTAGCTGACACATGTGATATTTTGGTACCATGTTAGATAAATGGTAGCCATGTCTGGCATGTGTTGACCATGTTAGGTTTTTGTTTAGTATGCCTTGAATTTCACCTGTATGTTACCAAAGCTGCTAAGGGAAGCCAGGAATAGTACTAGCATTCTACCAAGCATTTTGTAAGAGGTGGCTCAGGACAGTTTGTGGCTGATTGACTAACTCATTCCTTTATGAAATTTTAGATGCAGTAACCAACCAATCATTAATAAGACCACAACGGATTTGCCATCATCTGGTTACAGATTTATGTTCCATTAAAAATTAAATGCAAATGAGAGGAATATGTTTGGTATTTGATCACTGTATGGTGCATTTAGTTACAGGGCCTACTGTTTTGTCAGTATGTATAATATTTAGTAACTATAATTGGCATTTAGTCAACATATCAAGTGTATGTTCATAAACAGTAGCATTTGATTAATACGTCTGGTATTTGATCAACACGACTAATATTTGGTCATGTCTGATTATATTCATTAAATTGCTTTTCTTCATGCCAAAGAACAGCATGGCTGTTGGGTGATAGTCGATAATGAAGACAGGCAGGTCATTGTAGGGGTGATGCTTGGCTGATGGATGTAATGTCCTTGGCTCCCTCCCTTGCATAAGGCAATCCTTGGTGACCATTTATTCATCCTCACATAACTATATACAAACATGGAGTCACTTTGTTTCATATAATCTTCTCGGGAACTAGGGCAGTCGTGCTCTGAAAATTGATACTTGCAGCAAATGTTGGTACGGGTAGGAAAAAGAGACAAAGAGGGAAAATAAGGAAGGAGAGAAAAAATTGTTCATTTTTCATCGTAAAAAATCTTCATCACACTATTAGGGAGGAGTGGGATTACTAGTAGTAATAATCCCACTCCTCCCTAATAGTGTGATGAAGATTTTTTACGATGAAAAATGAACAATTTTTTCTAGTACATTCTGGTTCTGGCTGCCAAGATACTCCCATAATATTACGGGACTTATCTGGGTCACAAGTTCTGCCCACAGACAAGTGGAAAGATCAGTCAGTCCTCGCAGAGACTCACTGGCGTCAGCTTCACTAGACGATCAGCACGTTATGGTTAATGATTACTGTATAGTTCCATCAGTGATGAAAATCAGACGTCCAGCATGGTAATTCACATGTTAGCTTACAAATCGGCACAAGATATGAGAAGGTGGTGTAGCGATATGAGTTTTTCTCACAGGTTGATGGTTGACTGGAAAGCTTGACTAGTGCCTCGTCTCTCGTTGGATTTTCTGGCATCCTGTAATCAACAAGGCAACCCTCACTTGATATACCTCACTAATCACACATCTCTCGCTCTTCATAAGTGCTCAGAGGTAAATGTAGGGCTAGTCTAGACCATTAAGGTTGACTTGTCCCTCAGGAGCCTTTACAATTCCTTAGAGTGAGTGCAAGAGTTATTCGGACATTTCCACTGATTCAAACAGTCCCTGAACCTGTTTCTCAGAGAAAACAAGTTAAACATCTATCTGTCTCTATCCCTATAGAACTCACTTTACTATTTAGAAGATAAAGCCGATAAGATAGATAGTTTAGATATAATAGGAGTACCCGGATGCCTCAAACTTTTCCATGTTCAAGGTTTGTTTTAATTACATCCTCTCCTAGCAACAGGGGATGTGACATCATGTCTCATTAACATAGCTCTGCCCATTCTTACTGCCTTTATTCGGCTTACCAAGTTTGGATTCAAATTAAACGATTATCTTGGATAATACAAGTTCATTAAGACTTCAGTTACACTCCAGACAAGTGGATCTATGGATCTGAATAGGTATAGAATGCAGGCTAGAAGGTCTTTCCGAAAGTGCATTCACTCCTCCGATACCTCTGCCTTCAGTCGAAAGCGATCATGAACAGAAAGATTGTATTATTATTCCTCTTACTTTTTCTCTTAAACACACAAAGCAATTGAGCACAAATATATATATCCTTCTTTATAAAACACTCACCCGTGCTGATGAAAAATATCTTGCAGAACAGAATTCCATTATTAACGGTCAAACAGCCACAGCACCGATACGCATCTGCACACTTGAACAGTCAAAAAGTGGCGTAGAGAAACCACAACCGTTGGGCAATGATATGGCTCAAGCTTAGTAGTGAAGGAGTCAAAACAGTCAGTTTCAACAGACATGGAAAACGTGTGGTATCATATTCACTAACACTATTTGTCAAGAAGGATTAAATTAGTAGTGATCTGCATATATTTCCAACATCTGGACCCTCAAATAACAGAAGAACTATTTACACACAGACTGACCATCTGAGACATAAATAAAAATAATTAGCATGGTGGTGTCCAAAATAAGGACAAGTCTATTGTGGCAGAGGAGTTGATGCTGTTCTATGACACCAGTGTGTTGGGAAGTGAGCAGACAGACTGGCTGGCTGTGCACCACTTGGTGGTGAATTGATGTATGACAAGTAGGATATTGTGAGGGTCTTTGGGAGTGAGTGAACAGTGTGGAGGTGCAGATAGATCATTACGGTTTAAGGAGAATGGTGCTGCGAGAAGCTACCGGGGGATCAGGCCGACGCTCAGCACTCAGGGGAAGGATGAGACGGATATACAATCAGACGGTTACTGGTACTATCAAAATTAGAACTCACTTCACCAACAAATGAGTAGATAAGGAACCATTTGTCAAATGCCAAACATTCAGGATTCAAACTGTAGAATATTAACAAGTGACAAGGAGAAAGGGCAAGAGTTTTATTTAAGGCGGTATTTAATCTAAACGGATAAAGATGACAGGACAGTTCAGAACAACACTCTTGAGAATTCAGACATAGCACTGTCATAGACAATGTATATGAAGACTTGGTAGCCAAAATCCACAAACAAGCAGCAGGAATAAAGCTGCGATTGTCTCTAAAAGTGACTAATTTGTTCCTAAATTTTATGTGCTAGCGTTACAGGCCAATAGTTTTGAACTGTTGGGAAAGGGAATTATAACTGTTTAACTAAATCTGTTGTTTCATTGTGCTCTGATTATCATTGTTCCATCTTTTCCCCACAACCATAACTACAGTTTTTTAGTCTGTAAAAAGTCTTCAAAAGAATATATTCACAAATAAATGGATTATAATTCTTTTATTGGTAATGAAAAAACTTCCATGTCCATTAGTAGTTAAATGAAAAGAAAATACTGTGCTGTTTTCATAATGAAGTTTGGTTACATTAACCCACAGCTGTCTTCGGGAATATTACCTAATGACGCTAGTCTCTGCCAAGGTGCAGCTCTAATACTACTGTCCGAAAGCCATTATATTTTTTTTATCTGCCTACCATGGAAATCACACCCTACTACATGAGGATCATGAAATTGTGAAATGTTTCACTAACCTCTGAGCCATAGAGCCACACAGGAATTATTTGACAGGATGTCTCTTAATTTTTGTCTTTCAGCACATCAATGGTACTTCCAAGGGACAAACTCCACCCAAGTATCACACACATTTAGCTCGATCTTTCAGTGGGGATGGTGACTGTGGTGCTGTTGCCCCAGCATCTGGCAGCAAGGTAACACTGCAGCAGATTTTAAATTTATCATTTACTTTATTATTTAATTCATCATGTGAATGATTTATTTGTGCAAAATAAGAATTTATGATGTACTACCATCAGATCCTGGTATAGTGGATTGGTATTTAGCCTTCTCAGGCAAGGACTGACAAATTAGTTTAAATAGGTTAAGTTCACATGTTATAAATCCCTTATCAGTTATATAAGTCCTTTGGAGTTGGCTCAGTAGACTGCTTCCTAGGCAGAATTGTTAAATGAGAAAACTGAGAGAGATTTTCTGGTATGTATACACTTTTGTAGCCTCATTTGTGCACTGTGCTAAGTTTCTCTTTGAGAAGATCTGTGTCAGAAGATTACAGATTAGTACCCCAATTATAACTCTTTTATATAACTGAATGGGGTATCTGGGATTCTTCTGTTGACTTGACATCCAGATTTCGGTACATCTCACATTTTTAGGCCCAGAAAGAGAGTGACTTCTCTTCCCATTCATAAATTGCTATGTTCGCACAGCTTTTACTATGTTGTGAGGATGTCACACTTAGTGACTGGCCAACAACACATAGCATTTTACTAGCTGTTGTCACTGGCTGGGCGATATGGCGTGTTCTGTATTACTGGATGTGAGCACTTTTAACAGTTCCCAAACATGCAGAACTGTCCCTAACCCCAACCCCCCTACATTCCATGAGACAGTGCTGCCTGCGTCCCATGACTGCATGCAGCCTAAGTCGCACAACTGTATGCAGCATAGCGTGACACCCCCACAACATAGGACAAGCCATGTGACATGGCAATTTATGAATGGAAAGCAAAGTCACTATCTTTCTGGGCCTAAAAACAGGAGTTGTAATCAGATTTTAAATTTTGTTTAATCTCAGGGTTGTCAGACCTTGCCCAGAGTGAGGAAATTGGAAGGAAGGGGAAGAATAAAACAGTTTTTGTGCAGTAAAAAAGAAGATGTCTTTTACTTATTTATTTTAAATGGGGATTGGACAGACAGATGGCTAATGTTAATATCACATGATCAGTATTAAGCGGCTTTGTATTCCCTATTTTCTGGCACTATATTTTTTTTAACCTTATGCAGTGACATTTTCATACGCTATGAGAAACTGATGATATATTTGTTCATTCAGTGAATTTAAATTTGTTTTTCTGTGGGCAAAAATTTACATCTAAATTGTTTAGTGTCTCTTCATTGTGACCTAGTTAGACAATTTATATATTAGTTTCACATAATATTTGAATAATTTTTCTATAAAACAAAATATTTGTGGTGTCAGACCATTTGCATGCATAATTCACAATACCAGGGTACAAGGTCATATACTGTTATGTATGTCGATAGTAACACACCATTTTATTGAAAGATAATCATAACTATAATAGTGGTTAAGCACATTTAAACAGTATATGCTTTATTTGATTAGTTAAGTTTTTCTTTAACTCTTTGAGTCCCAGGGGGCCTAAGGGGTGGTAATGCACTTTTTAAATTTTACAAGTGTAAGACCATACTAATTCAATTGCCATGCAACATATACATATTATACATCAAAGTGACCAGGGATTGTTGAGGAATAATTTTAGCATAGAGCATCAACAAATTATTGCGTGAGTAATAAAAAATTAATACATTGATCTTGTTCCAGAGAATCTTCACGTGAGTACACATTTGACACATCCCTCATCAAAGTTTGACTCTATAAATGACTGAAACACGCTTAGTTTGCAATGTTATCTAACATCAGATAGATCTTAAAAAAACACATACTTTATTTAAATTTTAGGCTTCTAAGTCCGTAAATCACGTTTTAATGTGGGTAGAATAGTGCTTGGCGGTCATATTCTTTTCAAACAAACACTTAGTATCTCAAAAATCTCGCAAATATACTATTCCGCTTTCAACCCACATTTCTAAATGAGCACACTTCATGTCAGACACAAAGAACTTGGAAGGAAGTTGAAATTGCGCAGTCCACATTTTGCAACCTGTCAGTGGTAGATTAAAAACTTTCACTTGTGTCACGGGTCGATTGGGCTGCTAGGTTGAAACAAATTATGCGTTCCCTGGGACTCAAAGAGTTGAACAAACCATCACATGTGCAGTTTAATTAAATGATAATATTATCATGTGTATCATACAATTGGTATTTGTATCATAAAATTGTCAAATGTATCATAGAATTGTCATGGGATCATAAAATTGTCACAAATAACATATGATGGAAAGTCAATAAGTAAGTCACAAATGGTTGTTTAAAAAAAAAAAAACTAAAGACGATAACAACTTGAAAACCATTTATTTGTACACATACACTGTCCATTTTTTTTAAATCATAATTTCTACCACCATTGATGCACTCTTTCCCTTGTTTTATCAGTCCTCCCAAACCTGTTGCATTGAACTGTGGGCACTGTTTTCTAGACCACATTTTCACTTTACACTCAACTTCTGCATCATTCGCAAAATGTCTTCCTCCAAGGTGGGTTTTCAGTGGACCAGAAAGGTGGAAATCACTAGAGGCCAAGTCAGGACCGTAAGGTGGATGTTCCAGAAGTTCCCACACTAGCTGGGTAATTTTCTACTGAATTAACTGCACTGTATATGGTCTGGTATTGTCATGAAAGAGCAGTACTCCTCTAGTCATCTCCTGATTTGATTGATTTGATTTGATTCAAGAACTGAAATCACAGCACTCTGGGCATTCCTATAAGCGCTCCTTCCCCATCTTTAGAAGCCAGCGAAGAGTTCAAATACTTATGGTGCCAGTTAAACGTCCATCTTGCCTTTCCTCTGAGCCTCGAGCATCTGCCAGAACCTCTCATCACAACCAGCTGCATCAATCTCACCACACTGTGGTGATCAATCTGCTCCTCTGAACTCTCCCACAAGGCACTAACCATGTCTACCTTATCATGCATCAGTATTCCACCAAGCGGTGCAGAGCCAGCCAGTCTGTCCCACTGTTTATTTCCCAACTCACCGGCATACCCTCGTGAAAAAAATCCAGACAGTACTCCTCACCTGTCTTCCGCAACATGCTTTCTGAGTCAGTTACAATCACGATGTGTGTGTGTGTGTCATGTTCTCTAGCCAGCGAAAAGCTGCAGTGACCGCTTCCACCTTCATTCTCAAACTGGATGTTGTGGTATCATATGCTAGGCTCTCCTGCACCAAACGTCGACCATTAACTTTTGCTAACAAACCCAAAGCACTACTTTTGCCTCTTGACACTGAACCGTCTGTGTAAATAATCAAATCTTCTGAGGAGCGTTATCTTGAATTAATTGCTGAATTTCCACCTCTGTGGCACCTGCTGGCCAGTCTCTGCAATCCCGGCTCAGCGTAATTATGACCCTACACAAATCTGACTGTTCAGGTGGCAATTTGGCCCACTCGCCTAATGTTCTCAATGATGCAAACCTGTCTGATTGTGTCTTCTGCCTGAGCCATCCATGACTTCCCTCTTATCAGCCGCTGACCCTTAACTGCACCCAGATCTTCATGCAAAGGGTGGTTTGTGTATGCAGCTAACCTGAGATATGACTTCGCCTGCAGCATCTTGTGCCTACCTGCAACAGTCTGCAAACCAAGGATGTATCGCATACACACCACTGGGGTGTCTCTGGTGTAACCCAGAATGACCTGCATTGTTGAGTTCTGTATGCACTCTAGTTTGTCCCTCTGGACGACAGCCCTCATTTCAGTACACCACTCAGACACTTTGTCAACTGTTGCTTGTAGCTCCTGGGCAGTTTGTTCCATCTCTCCCCCCTGCCTATATGCAAGTATATCATCCGCAAAAGTCAGTATCCTTCCAACTCCTGGTGCTTCTAGGCTTGCAATCATGCTCGTATACACATTAAAGAGTACAGGCGAGATTCCAGGTCCCTGTGGCAGTCCTGGGGCCAAACTGTATGGTTCTGAGGTCCTTAAGCCCAGTAGAAGAGCAACCTGACGTGAATACAGGACAGCTGCAATCCAATTTACGATCCATGGACTGACCTTCTCCTTCAGTGCAGTCATCAAAATGTCGTATCTTACTCTACCGCCATAGTTTCCTGTCTGTTCTGGAACCCTTCATGGACGTCAAAATCAAAAGTGGCCACATTTGCCCATGTGTCCTTTCCTGGCCTGTAGCTTCCCAGACCTCTAGGGAGAAGCTTCCCCCTTTCCAAAAATGCTTGCAGCTTTACAGCAAGACCTTCCTAAATGTGTTTTGTAAGGTGATGATTCTAAAGCCACTGAGCTTTGAATGATCCTTAAAAAATTTTGGTAGTTAGATTAGATAGCTGTGCACCCAGTCCTGTGATACTTTTGCTGTCTTAACTCTTTGGGTCTCAAGGAACGCATCACACGTTCATAGGTTCCTAACTAGAAGCCCAATGAACGCAAGATACGCCGATTTTACGTTTCTCTTGACTATCTCTTGGGCCTATAATTCGAAATTCACTGGGACACCAAGAGTTAATGCTCTGATTAAAACAGTCAGCTATCTCTGCCAGATCCACATCGCTCAAAGCCTTCGTGTGGCTAAACCTGACCCCATTAGGCCCTGGTGCAGTGTCCTTTGCCTTTTTCAAAATTTGTTTGATTTCTTCTACTCTTATCATGTCTTCATAATGCATATTCTTTAAGGTGCCAGCTAACTCCTCTATAACTGCATCCCTGATGTCTACATCATTATGAACTGTCTGAGCTATAAACCTATGGAGAAAAGCCTCCCCTCTCTCCTTGCCTGTTGTCATACACACACCATCGTCTCTACAAATTGTTTCGACTTTCATAGGCCGATCTTTTATTTGCAAGTTCCAGAATCTCCCCAATGTTTTATCGCCTCCCATATCATTCACAGAAGTTTCCCACTTTGCTCTTTTGGCCTGTGCAGCACAGTGCTTGAAAACCTCCACCTTATCTTTTCTCACATTCTCCACCATCTCCACTTCGTCTTGTGAGCTTGAGGGTGTCTGTCGTACTTTCTTTAGCTGTTTCACTGTGGCACTCTCTGCCTTTCACGCCTGTTCTACTTCTGGAGTCCACCATCAGGGCTGTAGAAAATTAGTTCTGGCAATTCTGTTGCATGCTACCTGCCTGAGGCGTCCAAGTAGGTTGTTGGTCCACTTATACAGGAAGGTCTTGTATGCTCTGACAGCCTTAACCTTACTGGGTTTAGAAATGAGGACTGAACATGGTAGGGGATCAGGACTGTCCATTTAACATCTAAAACTGACGACTGGGAGTCAAATGTCAAGTCAATGGCTGTGTCTGCCTCGCCAGACCTCATTGCCATCCTAGTTGGCCTCCCATCAATGATGCAGACCATATCAGAGTCAGCCATGGCCTGTGCAAGAGCAATTCCCTGTCGGTTTTCTCCACTGCTGTCCCATTCTCTGTTCCTTGCTTTGAAATCCCCACATATGAGTAACCTATCACTTGGTAACTCCTCTAATTCCTTGAGCCAGCCCCATTGTTCCCCTCTGACAAAAGAGTCTACCGTGGCATATATATTTATGAGGTTCAAACTTAAACCACCAATCTCCACCTGTATCCCTTGAAACTCTCTTCCACTGTGGTTCCACTGGCTCAAGTCAAGCAACACATGCTTCACTCCTTCCTTTACCAACAGACCTTGTCCATGTCGATCCTGTCCAACAGGGTTTATATAACTGACGTACCCAGGGCAATGATATCTGTCTGTATTTAGATCAAATAACAGCCTCTCCAGTACAGGACGTCTCTGCCTAGCACCCCTACAGTTCCAGTATCCTATTCTTACATGATTAAAGCCCAATCTCTCCCCTTTTCGTCTTTTCTCTTAGCACCTGCCCTCCTATTCCTATGCCTTCTTCTCTCCACATTCCCTTGTCATCTCCCCCTCACTCTCTCTTTACTGACCGCTGAAAAATGTGTCAAGTGCAGAGCACGTGCCCGGTAGTTCCGGCGATAATTCCTATGTATACTTTTAAAATCCATAAAAATAAAAAAGACTACTGCAGGAAATAACTGGTCACCCTAGTATTGCCTGCCTGCTAGGGAAGGGGCAATGGATGTCCCGGAGGAGTCCATACAACTGGTGCTGCTCCGCAAGCCCGCCAGACGTCCAACGTTCATGACCAGCTCACCCGTGGCCATCCAGTTCCTCAGCACGTTGGGCCACCTTGAACTTGGGGGTTTATATTCGGAGTTTGTCTTCTCCTAGATGGACTGCTGTCCAAAGCTGACAGGTTCCACCTACCCGGGGAAAGGGGTTGTAGCGCGCCAACTGGCTTGGCAGGCACGTCTCCGAGCATATTAGGTATTTTATAAAGATTTCAGATCCCACCCTGAAATCCTGCCTCACCCTCTGTTAGTCATCTCCTGAAGCATCGATACAACATTATGGGATAAACATTTGTCAACATAAACAGGAAGCATTTTCTTATGAGTGTCCTTTGCAGCCAGCCCTTTTGCCCAGAAAACACACTATGGCACATTGTTCTTTGAGGGTACACTCCATAAGTACAGTCGCCATTTTGTTTTTGTGTTGCAAATGTGCATGCAACACCTAGCATCACCTAATGAATGGAGACATAAAGTTGGATGTTGCTGTCACCTAATGACACTTTTAGAAGCTACCAAATACATTTTCCTGCCATTTATTAACCATTCGTGACTTACTTATTGCCTTCCCCCCGTATTCTTTTTCAATCTCATCATAAAACCACCATACATATAGTTTGTTTCATTGTCATTAGGATAATTATGTACAAACACAATGTTTACATATAAAAATATTGTAGTGAATGCTCAGTGTTAGGGATACATTTATAAAAGCAAGGCATTGGTAGTATTTTATCTTATGAGGTATGTCTGGTCAACAAATATACGACAATATATGTATGTATTATAGGATTGTATGAAGTGTTCCAGTTCTCTCATAAACCATATGCAGATTTATTATTGTATAACTAACTCATTGCAATTTTGTTACTTTTAGCATCTAGCAACCCTGGTATCCCCTCTGTTTAGGTGTTAAGTCAGTAGGAACACAAATGTCGATGACATGCAGGTGTGATGTAAATATTCTTTATTGCTATTCTGACAGATATGTCATCCAGTCAATATACTAGGTTCTAACTGCTCTGTCTAGGTATCTGGTATGAATACTGCTATCTCAACAATATAGTATGATTTCATACATCATTACCTTTCATTACATGTGTTCCAATCACACTGACAGCTGGCATCTCTAATATAGCGCCACAGATCTTCACAACTTTCATTTCATGATCAATTTTAGTTCAGCAATCTTCAGTACATGCCAAGGACTTCCTCACTTTGTCAGCAATCACTGTTCATCTCAGTCATTCGTCTCATACAGCTTGACCTCTCACTCCTGCTGTCAAACACCAGCTGACTGCTACTTTCTTGCATCTAATCCTTTGTTCTCACCCCAGGGGTTTCTGCTTGCAATTGTTCACTCAAACACAGGAAACTCCAAACTTATGTTTGCCATATTTCTCCCACTTACCTAGTCTTTTGACCTTAAACTCCTGGTCCTTTGACCTTAAACTCATCGTACTGGGAACCCCCTGGGATTTCTGGGATTTTCCCTCATTACACTGATAGTCTGAAACTATGAAGATTTTTATTTTATTGAGCTTGTAACTGTAACTTGTAACTGTACCTTAATTATCTACCTTCATATTCAGCTGAAAATAAATGAACAGAATACTGCTGAATTTCAGTATAATGAAGTTGTCTCTGAAGATGATCTGGAGGGTGATGGTCTTTTCAAGGATGAAGGAGATGGTGACAGTATCAAATCCAGTCCTGTTGAGTCACTTTCTAAAAAGGTAAACAGGACCATTGGAAGACATTTTCAGAGTGAAAAGTCTCCAAGGCATTCAAAAAGAAGAACTTTACCACATTCTCCAAACAGTAGTCCATTCGCTACACATTCAAGGGACAGAACCATCGGCACCACCGTCAAAGATATTTTACGCAGAAGACAAAGAGCAGTCTATACAATTCAAGGTCATGAGCCTTGTGTGCAGATGGGACGTTATACTCCAAAGGGCGATAGTTCTGTCAGTCATGACAGCAAGCTAACTGATAAAGAGGCATCTATACCAGAATTAATGCATCAAGTGTCACCATTATCTCTGTCACGTTGGAACTGGAAAAGTGCTTTCTACAGTTGGTCTATGCCACTCGATCAGCTCATTCTTACCTTCAGAAGAGTGAGTCTTTCAACGCTTGCCTGAGTGTTCTTTTCTAATATGCTTGCAAGTTTCAATATGAATTTATTTGCCTGCAAACAGTTTATGTCTTATTTGTGTTAATTCCCCTTAACTAATTAACTTAGGGTGTTGACTTGCTACATGTTTGAATATTATTTAAGAAAGAAAAGAATATTTGCATGCGACAGTAACATAATTATTAAAAAAACCTGAATTCTTTTGTTGGATTGCCTTATCATTTTCTGTTTTTACCTATAGTCTTTCTACTCTTGTTATTTCTGTTGGCTTGTTTGCTCAGCGAGATGAAAATGTGAGTTTTGTGCATGGCATGTCATAGTGAATGTCTGAATCTTTGTATAATTTAAAATTATTTGTTTTATGTACTAACATTGTGTTCTTGATGTGCAAAAACAGATCTCTTTTAGGACATTTATTCTGGAGTTTGGACAGCATTAATTTTGAGCTACATTTTTTTACTGCAACATGATAAAACTAAAACTTGCGGGAATATAAAGTATTGGCTGTAAAGTGAAATATCAAATTAAAGATAAATGAATACAGAATACATCTAAACTATTTAAATGTCAGAATTACAACAAAATTGAAATAACATGACACCCATTCAGGGATGTTAGATGCACATGAAGAGTTTTTACATGCAAAGCTTTTGTACTTTACCTTTTCACTTGATCAGCAATGCTAATATCTATTTCTGAGAATTTACAAGAGTTCTCCATTCAATTATGCATCAAGCTAGTTTTTATTTGAAACATTTAGTCAAAATACTTTAGATTTTGTGACAATTTTTGTGTTACATGTAAAGTTTCACAAGAAATTCTGAACACAGCTGATCTCATTTAAATATTTTGTTAACTTCATCTTTACCTATATGATTGGTAATAGATTTGATACTTGCATTATTAATCCTAATGTGAAATCTATTGTCACCATCCAGCACAGATTCATCCATGACATCAGCAGTATAGACATTTTGGGAAAAAACATGGAACGTATTGCACACTTTTTGGGCCGTTAGGTAGCTCCAATGAATGTGTGATGAATTTGTTAGGATCAAAATAGGTAATGCTTGCATATATGTAATAAAATATTTCACATTCACTGTCTCTATTTCTTACTAACTCGGTTGCCTGTGGACATCTTTTCTCTAGTTTATAGTTAGTTTAAATATCTTGTTATTCCTAACTCTGTTTTTTTTTTTTACGTTAAGCATTCCAGAGCCTCTAATTTCTAGTAAAATTTAGTTGCTTATTTTTTTTCTCTATGCACTAAACATTCCAGATCTTCACTCCAGATCTTCACTTACCTGGTTAATCTGCAATATGGCTAACTCGTTTAATTTAGAATCTAGTTCTAAAAAATACTATGACCTATGAGAACAATGATAATAGTCTAGTCCTCTGCTTTATGATAATAATAAGTGCAGCATCATTATGTTTTATACAGATCTGAACAAGCATTGTGCACCTCCACAGCTATCTTGATAAGCTTGACCATTGATCGTCTTTAATACCAGTTTTAGCCAATACAACATTTTCTCCATCTGTTTACCTCTGTTTCTAGTACTTTAAGTCTTCTTTTATTAAAACTTGATAGACATAGTAGATGTTTTTCTCTATGTGGGTTCAGGGTTCCATTGTGGGGAAGATCTGTACAATTGATGTGTATTAGGCACTCAGGTTCTGGAACAAGACTAAAGTCTAGAAGTAGATAAACAACCATACATTTCCTCCAGAGTTTACAGCTAATGAATGTGAAGAAGAAGAAGACAAAGAAGAAGCTGAAGAACAAGATGAGGAGGAGAAGGAGGAAGAAGATGAAGGAGGAGGAGGAGAAGAAGAAAAGGAGGAGAAGAAGAAGAGGAAGGAAGGAAGGAAGGAAGGAAGGAAGGAAGGAAGGAAGGAAGGAAGGAAGGAAGGAAGGAAGGAAGGAAGGAAGGAAGGAAGGAAGGAAGGAAGGAGATAGTTTGCTTTAATATAATTGTTTTCTTTAAATAAATAATAGTAGACACTGTAATTGCTTTGCTATCATTTCATTTTTGAATAACGCTTCCAAGCCATTGAATTTTGACAGACTTAGCGCGCATGAATTTTCCTTTGCAAAAATGGCAGACGAGCGGTGTATTAAAGAAAAAAAACTGCAATTGAGAATGTTACATATTCTACATATTACTAATTCCTACAAAAATATATATATTTTTCAAGAGGAATAAATGTTCATTTTGAATCTGATGATAGGTTTGTTTAATGCTGTTATATTTAGTAGAGAAAAAGAATTCAGTAGGGGTTATTTTTACAAAGACACAATTATACCAACAAAAACAGCAGTGAATGTCTAAATTTGAGTCACATTTTAAAGTGTGATCAATTCCTATAAAATTTAAAAGTTATGATAAGTTTCTGGGTTAGTTTATCATTCAGAAGCCCTAGGTTCTCATAGAAAAAAGAAATGGCAATGTGCTTTTTGTTGTTGTTGCTTACATTTCCATAGCTTTACTGGAAGTAATTCCGTTTAATTTGTAACTAACATCTGACAAAGAGGCAGGAAAACTTACAAATGTCAATTGAAAACTATAAATAATACTTATTTGTAACCACAATGACTTCATGACTATAGATTTATTGGTATTGTTTCCACTCACACATAAACTGAGTGGTGATAATTTGTATAATGAATTTTTTTCAGCCAGTTACTTCATCTCACAAATAAAAATATTGATAATGCACCTTTAAGCTTTTTGTTTACATTTTTAGTGAAACTAGAACAAGTATGAATATGTTCTTTAGAAATGAATTTAACTGTTAGTAGATAGTTATGAAGCTAATACTTCTTTAAATCATTTCAATTATGTCCTCAGACTCAGACTGACTTGAATGAATCCAGTTCCAATCTATCAACTGGAAGTGAGGGTGGCTCTGAGGACAGTTCGAAACCCAAGATTAAGGGTAAGAATACAGGTCAGTCATTAGGACCTGACTGACAATATTGCCTTCCTGCCCTACTCACACAGTCAGATTAAAGATAAGTTAAACAGATTTGATGGGAGGTCACAAATCGAGGTGTTATTTTTTAGTAGAAAGACAAAGAATAAATCAAGCAAATTAATTGATTAATACACTGCTTCAAAAGAGGGAATCTGCTTCAAAATGTCTTTTGAAAAAAATAAAAGGCTTTGGTAAGGGAAAAAAAAAGTGCCGGTACTGTGCAGTGGTGTACCACCAGAAAAAATGCCCTATCCTATCTGACAATGTAGACAGAGATAGGTAAACAAACAGAGATATTAGAAAAACATTTTTTTTTTTTTTAATGTATGTAAGAGCATTGTAAAATTTGTGAAATTGAAACAAAAATTGAAATGTTTAAATCATTGTTTCCTAAATGACACGGTGTGGAGAAAGCTGTAAGGAGTCCGGATCGTTGACGTAACTGCTCTCAGCTAGGAAAACCTCCAGAATTGGCATCTGGAATCTTAGAACTCTCTATGATATAGGGAGAACAATGGAAGTAGCAAAGGAAATTAAACATTATACAATTAGTATTTTAGGGAAAAGTATTCTAAATTCAGGGGAAACTATTTTGTTCTCAGGACACACAGGAAAATTCGCCCCACAGAGAAGGGGTGGCCTTGATGCTATCGAAAGAAACAGACAGGGCACAAATAGAATGGGAAGCTGTGAGTCCCATAATAATAAAAGCATCTTTTAGAACAGTGAAACAGAAGGTGAACATGTCAGTAATACAGTGTTACACACCAACAAATGATAAAGATGTGATTGTTAAGGAATAATTTTACATGCAGCTTCATAATATTATAAATAATGAAAGAAAGGGCAATTAAAAAATGTTGATGGGTGACCTGAATGCTAAGATAGGATCAGATAACACAGGTTATGAAGAAATGTTATTGGTGGAAGTATTTTTCCCCATAAAAGAATACACAAGGCAACATGGGAATCACCAGACCATAAGACAACTAATCAAATTGACCACCTATGTATTAACAAAAGGTTTAGATGTTAGGGCTTTAAGAGGTGATGATGTATTTACTGACCATTTTCTGGTGGTAAGTAAAATCAAGTTGAAACTAAAAAGATATATAACATCTTATAATCATAGAAACCAATATAATGTAGGTTATCTCAGGGATATAATGTAGGTTATCTCAGGGATAAAGAAGTTAAGGAACAGTTCTCAGTTACATGTGTTGCAGCAGTTAGCTGAAGATGTCAGCACAGAAGTCTGCTGGGATAAGATAAAAGGAATCTGGAAAGAATCTTGCATAGAGGTTCTTGGCAAGAAAGAAAGGAAACATAAAGTGTGGATAACACCAGAAACCATTAAACTGATTGAAAATAGGAAAAGTAAAAAGGCAGACATAAACAATAGCAAAACTAGATCTGCTAAAGCTAGAGCTCAGGAGAAATACACAGAAGCCAGTAAGGAAGTTAGGAGGCAGATAACGTGAAATATCCAAATGATCTAGCACAAGAAGCGGAAACAGCAGCAGCAGAAGGAAACCTCAGAGAATTTTACAGTAACACAAGACAGAAATGGTAAATACAGTCAGCCGACTGGATCAATCAAAAATGGTCAAGGAAAAGTACTTACTAACACTAAAGATCAAATGGACAGATGGGTGGAATATTTTGAAATGCTCTAAATAGACCAGGCCCAGAGGTTCCCCCAGATATCCAGCCTTTAGAAATGGAAATGGATATCAACTGTGAGATACCATCCAAAGAGGAAATTAGAAAAGCTATCAATCTTCTCAAGAAAGGAAAGGCGGCAGGCCCAGATGGTATCCCAGCTGAAGCCATCGAATTTTTAGCTTGCTCGTGTGCAGTAGGATCAATTTTTGTCAGACATTTGGGCTTAACCGGCCGATGGATGGTTGCTGTCATGGTGCATCTCAGCGCGGTGGCGACGACACTGAAGGTTGACAGAGGATGTACATGGGTAGAATCTAGCTGCGAGACGACACCAACAGGAGATGTTACTCGTCTGTGCTGGGGGTAAATCTCTAGGTCAAGGGTTGAGTCTCAACAACGCAATGTTCTCTTCACCCCACAAACTTGTAACCGAGGGTTGTCATTTTAATTGTACGTTTGGCAAGCACTTTACTCATGTTCCTAATGAGTTTTGATAAGCTTTTCACCCATGCATTTGGGGGCGGACTGATGAGAGCCACAAGGAGACTACACCTCTAGGGGCCGCCAACTCCGAGATCCCCTGACAGCTCTGTTAATGCTCATTTGAGACATTATCCGTGGCGCACGACGAGGACTTGCTGCATGAGTCTTGCGTGAGGTTCCGTAAAACCAGAAAGTGCAGGACTGGTGCCCGAATAACGTACGGAGTAACTCTTTATACACATCACGTTGGGCTTAACTTTACCTCATGCTTGTGACAGAAATCACGGTGCCACTATATAAAGCTATATACAACAGTAGATGTTTCAATAAAAGAGTATCCACAAGATGTCTATATTAACCTCATGAGTAAACTAAAGCACTTACATGATTATGTCATGCAGAATTATCATGAAAAAGAACATCTTCAACACAAAGATATGTACAAAATCAAGACAAGGCTCAGTTAGTTTTCCCTAATGTTGAAGCAGTATATTGACCACGCATTGTTTACTTTATTCAGTTTGTCCTGTATCAATTGAAAATTAAATGGTGCCAAACCAGTCAATATATCTGCTTCTTCATTTCCCAACATACTAACATTCCTTGGAGAAAATGTCCAATGGAAACTAACTGTTCGCAACCTCAGACGCGAGGCTTTCCACTCTCCACAGTGCATACTTGTCTCCCCCTTTCTCAACATGCTCTGTGAATCAGTTACAATCATGACGTGTGTATGCAGCTGGTTCTCAAGCCAGCGAAAGGCTTCTGTGAACACCTCCAATTTCAGACTAGATGTTGTTATATGCCAGGCTTTTTTTTTTCTTTTGTACTAAGCGACATATGTTTACTTTTGCAATAAACCCCCATTGGGAGGCACCATGGTAGAGCAGCAAGCAGGTAAATAGCCGTGTCTGCATTACTGGGCCTCATTACTATTCTAGTTTGCCTCCCATCATTTATGCAGACAAAATTTGAATCCTTGTCGATTTTCCCCAGTACTGTCACATTCATTGTTCTGTTCACTGAAATCCCCACAAATGATGAACCTGTTGACAGGGATCTCCTCTAGGTCTTTCAACCAGTCCCACTGATACCTTGTGACTAATAAATACACAGCAGCATATATATTTATAATGTTCCAGCTTAGGCCATCAATCTCCATCTGTATTTCCTCTGCCTCCAAGGCATCATGATTCAGAAATCAGGTCAAGCACCACATTTTTCAGTCAATCCTTCACTAGCAGACATTGCCCATGTCTCCCATGTCCAGCAGTGTTTACATAGCTGACATATCCAGGGCAATGATATTTGTCTGTATTCAGCTCTTGAAGCATGATTACATTTAAACTGTATATCAACCTCTCTAGTGTGGGCCCTCTCTGTCTGACACTGTACAGAAGTACACTCTTACATGGTTGAACCCCAACTGCTCTGTTTTTCACCTAAATCTCCTGGCTCCTCCTTTCCATTTCTCTGCTTTTTTCTCTCACCATTTGCTCATTTTCTCCTCCACACTCTCTTTGCTTCTCGCTGAAGATGACTCAAGCGTAGGGCACATGCTCCGTAGCTCCAGCGACAATTCATATGAAATGAAAAATCCATATAATGCAATTGTTATGAAACAGGAAGTAGCTGGTCACCTTAGTAGAGCCTGCCTGCTAGGAAAAAGACAATGGATATCCTTATGGAGTCCACACACATGATGCCGCCCCTCCCGCTGACCAGATGTCCACGTTCATGACTGACTATCCCACAGTCATTCAACCCCTCAGCACGTAGATCCACTTTAGGCTTGAGGTTTTTTGTCGATGTTGTCTCCTCTAGATTTGTTGTTTCCAGAACCTCAAGGTCTTGGTTAATGGGGTCACCATTTGAAGGAAGTGCCTTTTTGGTCATGCACAATGATCTTGACTTTAGAAAGGTTTGCCAGGTCACAGGACTTACCACCTGAGTGTGCCCGTTTCACCTGTGAGGCTAGACCTATAGACTCACAAGGGGGGAAAAGCTGGTGTGCTCCACTGCCCGAGAGTCTTAACCAATACAGCCCTGAGTCTCCTCGACCCACTGTGAGTTTGTTGTTGGTGTGACCGCAGCTCAAGCCAGTGAGATAATCTTGATCTCTGATGCCACCCACTGTTTTATGTACTGTGAAACTGATAATAACACCTCATTCCACTTCTCTATGTGTAGTATCTTGCGTTGCATTTTCCATCAGAGCGACATTACACCTCCACTGATGTAGACTGAGTAGAGATACCCAGCTCAACTCACCCCAGGGTCGCTATGTCTGTATACCCTGACAGATGATAATGAATGTCAAGGGTCATGCTGTCTGTAAACTACTTAAATTTTAACTTCTCATAGTGTCAGAATCATTTCCAAGTTCTTGACTGATACAGCTGTCTTCTGAATATTCATATAATTTGAGTTACTGTATATTGTCTTTAAGTTGTGTAGTAATTTCTTCTATCAGTAATGTGTCAGACTTATGAAACTTGCAGTTTGAATCTAAAAAGATGATGCCTCTCAAAGACCCCTATATTGTAAATTAGATATCTACTGACACATCACTTCTTTGAAAATTTCACACTCCGTGTGGGCAGGAATTCATTCATTGTGAGTTTGTTGTTAGTATAGCTGCAGCTCAGGCCAGTGAGAAAATCTTGACCTCTGACCACTCCTCTGTTTATAGTACTTGCGCTGCATTTTTCACCAGTGACATTACAACCTCCACTGATGTAGACTGAACACAGATGACCAGTCGAAATTCTTCCCCCCCCCCCCCCCCCCCGCCTCCCCCCTCCCCACCACCCCACCTTTTTTTTTTTTCAATGTTGCAATGTCTGTATAGCCTGACAAATCCAAAATAATGTCTAGGGTCATGCTTGCTGTCTGTGAATTACTTCCGCTTGCTGGAACAGGTAACATTAGACATCTTGTTCAAGTATGGCGGTGCCAGATCTTTGAGGTGAGATGATCCCTTCTATGTCGCTTTGGCTCTGAGCCAGACAATAAGAAGTGATTCAGTCTGTTTCATCTTAACCTGTGTTTTCAGTGACAGCCAAATGCATCGTCATTGCCACCTCTACAGCAGTGTCACTGTTTGGTAAACTAGGCAGGACCGAACTGTTCACCCTGACATGTGTGAACACCTGTACACTTATCTACACTGTTCTACAGCACCACAGACAAAACCGACGCATTCATGTTTGTACATACAGCAAATTTCCAACGAAAGGCAATGATGTTTTGTTATTTTGTTAAAGATACTGAAGGTCAAGAAGAGATTGGTCACCGTCTTGGTGCGGACGGTGCGCACCAACCCGACTATTTAAAAATTTTCTTTTTAAATATTGTGAAACATTAATCATTTCCCACTAGACACTTCACCATACCCTCATGACTTTATTATGTATGTATTCAAGTTTCATCAGCTGATTCTTAGACAGGGTAAGCATACTGAGTCAGTTATCTATCATTGACATGATCTATTACCGACAGGATCAGGTGCTGGATAGAGCACTTAGAAAACATGATAACACAAAACTACAAAGTTCTTTCACTGGGGCCTAATGAGCAGAAGAAATATAGAAAAACCTAGAATCACATGAAAGAAACACAATTGGAGACAGAGAACAATATAGGAAAACACGTAGAGCACTGCAAGCTACAGCAAACTGTAGGATGGCTCAGCCTAGTTGGCATAGAGCTTGTGCACTAATTAGGGGTAAATGGCTAAAGAAGAAGGAAGGTAATAATTACAGTTTATTGATAGTTAGATCTGAATATTTGTATAGCTGGTGCTGACAAATTTCAGTCAAACACAAATTCTGTAAATGTTTATTATGAATTCACATACATTACAAGAACAGACAAGTTCTTTGATAAAATTACTACTACTTACATCATATTGTGCTCAGTGTCTTTTGTAGCATGATATATACAGTATCCGCAAGAAAAATATATATTATTTCTTTAAAAAAACACAGATCCTTATAAGAAATATTATTTCCTGTATTATTTGTTGTGTCTACAGCAGTATATCATTTTTATGTCTGCTCTTCTGCATTTTGCATTTAATTTAATTTCCTAAATATACAATGTGGAAACAAATGCAATGTGAAAACCAAACTGTTTTACAAAATTATTTTAGATGTAGTTTTCTAAGAAATCTTTATCACTGTGTTATCTGTTTAAAGTAAAATCAATGCCTACAAGTAATTTGATAAACTGCAATATTATACCATAAGGAACCTCTTTTTCTTCTTCTTCTTCAATTTCTCTTTTATTGCTTTACATGTTGAAGGAAATATCAGGTTCTGATCTGACTTGGAAATTTTAATGCTTCTGTTTCCTATTTATTTATAGGTAGCAAAGTGATGAGAATGGGTTCCTTTGCCTTTCGAGCGACACAGTTTTTTGAGAACATTGGAAAGAAAACGACAAACAAGAGAAAGTCTCACCATGGTTCACTTTCAAACTTTAGGCACTCTGGTGACTTAACAGATGTTTGTGATGGCATTGTTGAAGAAGCGTCAATGCCAACTTCTAGCTCAGCTGGTAACCTTGCCAAAAACAAGAAAACCATCAGTTCAGATAGTATTTCATCATCTACATTGACAAAAACTGAAAATGCACTGTCAATACCTGCACACTTAGATGCAGTTGACTGTGATGATTATGTCCATGTTACTCATAAAGGTAAAAGATACTAAATCAATTTTATGTGAAAGAGTGAATGTTGTCACAATTAAATTAATTATTTTTGTCTCTCATATTACAGCTGCTTGATCTGTTATTTATGTCTTCAGTATATTTGTCTTTTCACAATTTATTTGTAGTCTGAATTTTGAAGTTTATATTTTCGAAGTCATCTATTTTTTCCTGTATATGTCGTTAATATTTTTACTTAGCAGAACAAGTTTATGCTCTCCACCCAGTCAATGCCATTATTTGCTGCACAAAGTTTTCTTTATAACTTGATCAATAAGGTTAGTTGTGTATCCTTTACAGGACGTTGCAGAACCAACCCTAGCAGCCCCTGGCTGTTGTGTGGTTTCTCTAGGCAAATTTATGTCCAGTAGTTTGCCATTGCTTTCTGGACGATCTGCCCCCTGATACCACTGTCAAAACCAATGCAAGGCGCATGGCCCGCAGCTGGGATCAAACTCTGCACCCAGGCATTATGAAGCATTCGCATCGACTTAGCCACAGAGCCTAAACTTGATCAATAGTTATGCAAATAACAGGGGAGATAAAATACATCCCCTGTTCACTCCAGTTTCACATGCAAACCATTCACCTAAACCCATGTTTGCTCTGCACAATTTAAGCTTCATACATTGCTTTAATAATGTTTAAATTTTTATTGGTATACCAGGTAATCTGGTATTGGCATTTTCAACTGTTATGGCAAAAAAGCCATTCCATAGTTGCTACATTCCTGTGAGAAAAAAAGAAGAATGTCCATCACTGTCCTTTGAGAAACAAACTGACACAGATTGCAGTCTCAGCAAAACTACTATTATACACTTGCATTAAATGCCTAAGACAGCCATCAGAATTATCAATACAAACAATCCGGCACTGTTAATGCCATTCATTATTGATGGAAGCCGCAATTATAAGAGATCTGTACTTGCACATGCACCTAATTATACAAGGCACCACCAGTTCTCTGGCAACAGACTGCTGGCCATTTTGCAAATCACATTACAAACCATGTTGGGCACAGCCAAAAAAGCATTCCAAATTAAATCTGCAGCTCACATTTTTGCATCATGCACTTAGTTCAGTAACGGGATGATGGAATTATATCCTTTCTGTCTTTATATGGAGGAAAATGAATGGCTAACAATACTTAGAAGCAAACATTTCCCAATACTAAAAAAGCAGTAAGCCTGCTTATACATCTTACTGACCTGAAGTGACTGTCATCGGCATTCCATAACTTTCTAAAATTTTACACATGGATGTTTTTTGTAAGTTATCATATGCCTTCTTAAAGTCATGAAATTCAAGAAAGGGCTGCTATTTGTGAACAAATTCTTTGGTTTTAGAGTAATTATTTGATCTAAGCAGCTTTTTCCTGATCAAAAATTAACTTGTTCAGTTTTCAAGATTTGTCCATTACTGCTTTAATTCTACTGACAATTTCTTTACAAAAAGTCTTGAAAATTACTGGTAACAGGGTAATTTGTTTCCATTAGTGACAGTCAGTGAAAGTAACATAAAAAATTTTTTTTAACAATTATTCCTTGTTTTTGATTGATTTGGGAATTTTTCCTCTACCCATATTCTTTTATCCAGTGGAAAAATTGGGAGTGCCCCAAGACCAGTATACAAATAGCAAATGCAAGCTTACCAGTTAAAAAAAAAAAAAAAACAGGAAAGTCAGGTATGAATGACTGACAAAATCATGAACAAAATGACACAAAGGAAGAAAGCAAAAGCACACTCCGGAATATGCATTGATAGACAAAGACATATGAGACGTGCAGAGCTTCTAAAGAAACAATGGATTCAGATGAAATGTAAAGAAATGGAGTATCTAGAAATAAGACATAAAATGAAAGAAGTACATGACAACATAAGAAGGCTCACCAACAAGACAAAAAATATTTCAACCAGGAAAGGTTGCATCAGTAGAGAAGATGTAAAAATTAGAGTTGATATAAATGATATGACAAAAAGATCGACTGAATAAACAGAGGACCTATTTTTTAACAATATAAGTAACATAAAAAAATTGTTTTGTGTTCATAATTGACACAACATATGATGTAGAAAAGATTATTAAAAAGACGAGGCATGGAAAAGCTGCAGGCCCTGATAAAATATTACAAATGTTAAAATCATTATCAAATTTAGGATTTTTTTATACCACAGAAATATGTAATGATATATATATATATATATATATATATATATATATATATATATATATATATATATATATATATATATATATATATATATATATATATATATATATATATATATATATATTAAACACTGCATACATATCCACGGACAATAAAAACATACATTTTCATTACAATACCCAAGAAATCAAAAGAAATTGATTGTGGTGACTACAGAACTATTAGCTCATTGAGGGGGATGACTTTGATACTCCTGAAAATAATACAAGAAAGAAATCAAAATAATATGAATAATAAAGTTTCAGAAGAATAGTTTGGATTCCCTAAAAAAGTAGCATCTGAGAAATCATAACTTAGTGAAGGATGCTGACTGACAATACAATGTCTGACAATTAAGTAATGAGACTGTTTTTATTATGGCCAAGACAAAAATGCCATCTATGAAGCAAGGCATGGAATCTAAAGAGGCAACATTCATCTATGATCTGGCAACTTTTTATCGCCGCTCGATAAGCAGACGACAAACAAGCCGCCATTTTGTTGACCTAGTCAAAGGTGCATTGTTACATTATCAGCCCGGAGCAAAAAAGTAATATTAAATTCTTTTTCAAACTCAGAAAAAAGAAACATTCAAACAGTTGAATTGATGCAACAAGTTTATGGGGATAGTTGTTTATCTTGTGCACAAATTTTCAGGTGGTATATGTAGAACATTTCACATATCTTGGCAGTGTGGTGTCCCTACTGGGAGGGACAGAGGAGGACATACAGTTGCGTCTGGACAAGACTAGAGCTGCTTTTGGAGGGATAGGGCAGGTCTGGAGGTCCAACAATTACTGCAGAGGAACGAAACTCCGACTCTACAGGAGCATCATTTTGCCAGTTCTTCTTTGTGGAGCGGAATGCTGGAGAATGACCAAAAAGGATGCACACAAGCTGTCCACCTTCCACCTCACATGTCTACGTAGGGTTGTCGGAATTTTCTGGCCAGATACAATCTCAGGCACTAAACTACTTCAGGCCACGAACCAAGAAACTTTGGACAGTGTGGTTGCTGGGAGGGGATGGAAGTGGCTTGGCCGCGTTGTGAGAGTGACTTCTGATATGCCTGCCGGGACAGCTCTCGCGTGGACACCGGGGGGAGGGAGAAAACAGGGGCGCCCAAAAACAACATGGAGATGAACGATGGAAAGTGGCCTGGGTGCGGCGTCTTTGGCATGGAAAACTGCACTGAAGATTGCACAGGACAGGAAAGCATGAAAAGTCCTCTCTGAAGCCTCATGTGCCACTAGGCATAACGAGAACTGACTGACTGACTGATTCATGATTCAAAAGGGGTGTGGAAATGATTACTAATGCACCTAGACCTGGATGCCAAATTTATGTTTGAAATGATGAACTCATTGTGAAAGTCAGAGAACGGATACAAGAAGATCATTGTTTCACTGTAAGAATGATGGCAGATGAATCTGGTGTTAACAGAGAGCCCATTCAAAACATTTGAGTGCAAGATCTTGGCAAGAAAAAAGTTGCTTGCCAGTTTGTACCACATTCGTTGCCTGATGACCAAAAACATCAGCGGGTTGAGAACCCAGAGACATCATCAAAACAAGAATTTTAGGCCTAAAAACAAGTGTATGTCCTCATCTTTCCACCCTATTCCCTAGATTTGTCTCCCTGTGATTATTTTCTATACCCAAAATTAAAGTTACGATTGAAAGGGCGCTTCTTTAATGATATTGATGACATCCAAAGGGCCGTAACATAGACTTTAAGGGCCATAACAACAGAAGAACTACAGAGGTCGTTCCAGTGTTTGTTAGATCGTACCACTTGCTGTATCAATGAACAAGGGGCTTACTTTAAATCAGATACAGGTTATATCTTCAATTGATGATTATTTCAATTTTTATAGAATTAGTCTCATTACTTAATTGCCGGACCTTGTATGTGTAGAAATTTAGAAAAATATTTCTGCATGGTTTATTTTTAACTACAAAAAAGCTTTTTTTATTTTTTATTTTCACTGGCTGTAAACTCTGGCAGAAATTTCTGGTCAACCTATGAACTTGAGTTAAATTGAGTTGAGGGAAGAATTGACATCACTCAGGGTATTCCCATGTCCATCTTGTTATATGTATGTTTTCCCTTTCCTCTGAATGTAGTGAGCCGACCAGGCTGATCTTTACTGAGCAACTGCCTATGTAGCTTCCAAAACTTTTGCCCAATGTGTTATCACCCTCAGTCTCATCAATAAACTGCCCCAATATAGTTTTTTTGTGGCCTCTTTTGCACAACACTTGAAAAGCTATATTCTATATTTCTTATCTCTTTCTGCGCATTCCAATTACTCTTGTAAACTTTGGACTGTCTGTCACACTTTCTTTAAATGCTTTACTGCAGCTCTCTTTAACATCCATGCCTGTTCCACCTCTCATGTCCACCATGGAGATGCCCTCTGTCAGAGACGTCAAGAAGGGTGTTTGTCCGCTCATGCTTGAAAGACCCATGAGCTCTTGAAGATTTGACTTTCCTGGATTTGGAGATCAATACCAACAATACCAAACATGGCAGATGGTCACTTCTCGACCATGGCATCAACAAGGACAACTTTTTGTCGGCATTCCCCAGTACTGGCCCATTCATTGTTCTGTGCATTGAAATCTCACAAATAAGGGGCCTGTTGCCAGGAATCCTCTCCAGGTCTTTCAGCTAGTCCCACTGTTGCTTTGTAGCTAATAAACCCACGGCAGCATAAACATTTATTATGTTCCAGACTATGCCACCAATCTCCATCTGTATTCCCTGTACCTCCACAGCATCATGATTCCACCGAATCTAGTCAAGCACCATATATTTCAGTCAATCCTTCATTAGCAGACATTGCCCATGGCCAGCAGGGTATACATATCTGACATATCCAGGGCAATGATATTTGTCTATATTCAGCTCTTGAAGCATGATTACATTTAAACTGTATATCAACCTCTCTAGTGTGGGCCCTCTCTGTCTGGCACTGTGACAATTCCAGAAGTACACTCTTACATGGTTGAACCCCAACTGCTCTGTTTTTCACCTAAATCTCCTGGCTCCTACCCTTCTATTTCTCTGCTTTCTTCTCTCACCATTTAATTTTCTCTTCTGCACTCTCTCTTTGCTGCTCACTGAAGATCAGCATGTGCTCCGTAGCTCCAGTGACAATTCTTATGAAACGAAAAATCCATATGATGCAATTGTTATGAAGCAGGAAGTAGAAGGTCATCTTTAGGCTTGGGGTTTTTTTTAAATCAAGGTTGTCTCCTTTAGATCTGTTGTTGGTTAGCGGAGGTCACCTTGTGGAGTATGTGCCTTTTCAGTCACTCACAGCGGTCTTAACTGTAGAAGGTTTACCCAGTCAGAGGACTTACCACCTGAGTGTGCCCTTTTCGCCTATAAGGCTAGTCCCTAATTGTTGCATGCACATCTGCTTTTCAGATCTGGCTTATTTGTATGCAGACTGTTGGTTTCTTGCCTCTCAGACAGATGCAGTGAATAAAAAAAAAATCAAATTAGTCGACTCTTATGATATTCTTGTTGGGGAAAAAGTGAAATGATTCTTATCTCCCCCACAATGGGGTCCTGGAATTCACACAGGTAAAGAAATCTTTTGACAGGGTGCACAATGAACAGCTCATTGCTTGCCTTCAAGAAAAAGAATTAGATGGAAAGGATATCAGACTTATTAGTAAAATATAATAGGAACAAGCAGTAGTTAGATATGACATCATCTACTCTTCTCACACAGAATTAACAAATAAAAAGACTGTGTCCATGGTGCATGCTGTCACCTTGCCTTTTCAGCTTGTGTACAGAAAGTATTTTTTAAACAAATAAAAGAACTGCAAAGCATTAAGAGAGAGTGTAAATCCAGGTTGAAAGACAGAGCATGTTTAAAATCCATTGCAGCCAGCCTTCATTGTGGAGACAGCGACAGCATCCGATTGAGTAATGATCCTGTTAAACGAATCTTTTACTCAGTTTATGGTAACATAATTTGCTGCTTTCAGCGTTTTTTCACTAATATCATCTGTGACATTTCCATGATTTTTATCTGTCTTACATTTATTGATATTAATGTAGTCACTTTTACCTCTTTATCTTTATTGATTCTCATGGGCTATCTCTCTTTAATGTCTTTTGGAAATTTAACAGCAAGTATTTGTAATATTTTTTGTCACTAAAATCAAAAGCAGAAATCATTGTGATACTTTATAAGTGTTAAACACTTAACCGTTTCACCTAATAATTACCACTTTCAAAATTCAGTGAAAAGAAATGCATTGTTATAGTTCTGTGAAAAAAAAAATTTAAAAGAAGAGAAGAAGAAGTAGAAGAAATCTGGAGTTTTAGTCAGATTTATAAAAATCAAGTGGGTTGAAACCTATTATCACTGAATAGAAAGGCACACGGTTGTTTTGTCACGGCCCCAAGTCGCTAAAAAGAGGGATTTTTCATATTTAGAACTATTATTTTTGTGCACAGATGATTTTTGTTTAAATATGTTGACAGCCACAGAGAGTAAAATTACTGATCATACCTTTATTATGACATCACTTTGACAAAAAAAAAAAAAAAGAAGAAAATTGATTTGTTTGCCTCAAAGAATATCTCAGCAATTTGTTTTAAATATAAACACACCCACATCTATACACTATGCAGTTGCAACCAGTACCAATGCTGTTATTTAGGCATGTTGACAGCTGCCTAAAGACTTCATGTCATCAAAATGCTATAAAAGTTAAAAAAAACTGCTATCTTGGGGTGAAAGGTCAGGACACAAAAAGAAGTTGACCTTGTGTTTTCTGAATCACATTAAATTAAAATATTGAAAGATATATTTATAATTTTATTAAATAATAATAAATGTATCATGCTTAAGTATTCTGGTATCAATTAACTAAACAAGTTTTCAGCTTTTTCCCACATTATGTATATCATTTTCCCTGTGTGGGTCCAGGAAACCATTGTGGGGAAAACAAGAATAGACTCACTGCCTACCCAAAACAGGTATGTCATAAGAGTCGTCTAACTGGAAGCTTCCTTCGTTCGAAGCAAGAGTGCACCTGCCCGAGCTGCAAGGAACAACCAACTGCACACAAATTAGCCAATAAAATGGATGTACACGCTAAACTCAGGCTCTGGCACACAACCAAAGTCTAAAGGGATGAATAATCAGGTCTTTTAGCTGGAGCTTACAGCCGGTGAACAAAGAAGAAGAAGAGTACATAGTTTTATTATCATTTTCTTTTAATGATAAAATTTGATTTTAACTCCTGAAGAATTAAAAATAATCTACCTTTGATTTCCCAAACCAGGTTACCTTTTAATCTTCAGTAGCTTCAACAAACGTTGCTGGGGGAAACGGTGGTGTTTGGTCAACAGGAACATGTTTGAGTGTTATAAAAGTGACAGCAGTAAACAGTGTGAGCTCAGCTTTCTTTTAAAGCCCTGTATATTACGCAGAGCAGTTGCAGAAACAAACAGTGAGAATGGATTGATGATCATGGATGCTATAAAAGAGAAGATAACTGTGGAGGTAACTAAAAACTACAGTATTAAACAACTTTAGAAACTAAAATTTATCATGCAAACACTCTTAAATTTCTCATAACTTTTGAACATAACGCACATGTTCCATTTCTTTATTGACAAACTTAGTGTTATGTAGTTTCATATCAATAATTTGTACTTTAACATTGCAACATATGAGTCATCTGCACAAAAATCATGTCTACTGTCTCAGTTAACCCACTGACTGCCCACGCCACATGTTATGCAACGAGGCAAAGTTTACTTCTTTCTGCCAGTGTCGCACCCTTTGGGATGGTAGCTTTGGATGCTCGCCATCATGTTAAAATCATGATTTTAGTGATGAATTTAGTTGAAACCTTTAGCCTGTTTATTTCTCTATTTTGGTTAAGGGAAACAACTTCATGGTGCTTATATTAAATATTTGTTAAAATGAAATTTCATTGTTAGCTCCTGTGTATGTGACAATTTTTGACATGGTGTAAAATTCTTAAAACAATTGGGGTGATCATTTTTCTCATTTTTCTGTTGCTGCGCTGATTTTCTTGATTTGATTTTCTTGTGAAAGTGAAGCTAATGATAATATTGAACAGTTTGTTGAATGGTTGGGAAGTTACAGCAAAATTGCTAGTCTATATTGTTGTCAGATAACAGATTTATGTGTTGCCCTTTTTGACCATACCTACAGCACATGATGACAATGTCAATCAAAATAAACCCACTTCTGTTTCTTGCAGTGTGTTCTCCATTTAATTTGGTGCACAAAAACAAAATATGATAATTGTATGTTGAATGGTTGTGAAGTTACAGCATTTTTATTAGTCTGTATTGTTGTCAGATAAAAGATTTTCAGTTACCTTTTTTGTACCATATCTACAGCCATATGATGATGATAACAAACAAAATAAACACATTTTTGTTTCTTGCAGTGTATTCTCTATTTAATTAGGTGCAAAAATACAAAATATGAATGGTATGTGTACGTTGAATGGTTGTAAAGCTGTGGCATTTCAAATACACACTAAAATGTGTGGTATCTGGGAAAGTGCAAGGGTTAAAATAAAGGGCTTGGTAGTCAGTAGGTTAAAGATAGAAAGAAACAAGATTCTCAGTTCATTTATGTTCCCTTCATGATCCTGATGAATGAATAAACATTAATGACCAAGAACTTTTCCATCACACAGTTTTTTAATAATTTGTGTTATTCTTTAAATAGACATCATTAATACAGTTTGAAAAAAAAAATTTTTTTTCATAGCCACTTTCAAAAGACGAAATGGGACAGTGGGTTCGAGTGTTTCTTAATGAAACATCTACCCCAAATGTTCCAGAAGGTTTAGAGGAGTACATAAAGGAACCAGCACATCCCGAGGGTGACAGCATAAGTGTAGTAAGCTTCTCTGTTTTAAAGCAATGGGTGAGTTTCAATAAATATCTTAACTATCTTATGAATCTTCCATAATGTACCCATTCAGATTATTTAAAACATGGAATATGAATCCCTGGGCTCATCTTGTAAGCTGAACAAATCTAGTGGTAAGAATCTTTTGTCAGTTTCATTTTGGCATGGCACCTATACAGAATTGTTTGCTGTTTGATATATCACTTTTCTTTCTAAGTGACCACAAAAACATCATCATCATCACATAGCAAGACCTTTGCAAAATGTCAGTCTTTTAACAATCTATTGATAAAACCCCTAATTCTAGGCCAATTCTCCTGACTCATTTCATGTCATGCTAGGGTGACTTTGACTCATTAACTGTGTACATTGCAGCAGAATGAGTTATCCCATGTGTTCTGTTTATTTTATCTCCTTATGGCTATGATCATTAATCTTCTGACAACTACATCTCTCAATATCTCAGTGTGTTTTTTTTTTTTCTGTTATCCATGATGTATTCTTCAATAAACCAAAATTACTGCTTTCAGCTCTTCACTGTTTTATTGTCCTTTATAGCACCCATACAGAAGAAAATGCTTCACCTTTCAGCTGATTTCTGTGTTTGTCCTGATTTCCTCTTTTTCACTTTTTTAATAATGTGTTCCTATTTTATATATGACTAAAAAATGACAGCTGTCTCTTTCTAATGTGTGTGATAAGTTCTCTATCTCAGCCTCTTTCAAAACAGTTATATTGCTCATTTTCTGCTGTAAGGGATTTTTTCCTCTTTGAATTCTTTGGCTAATTTACAACAGATACAAAAGGCTAAGCTGCACTGTTACATATTAGTTTACAAACGGAAGCAGCCTGTTCTAAACAATTTCTACAAAATAGACACAAAGGTTTTCATTATCTACAACTCACTGCATAATGATGATGGGTAATATTTTCATCAGTAACAGCAGCAGTCAGAAATCAATTATCAGTTATTTGCAATATATGCAGTAACATTAACTTTTTATTCAGATGTATATCATTACATCAAGTGTAACAGTTTTTAAATATTCTGTTCAACCCTCAAGAGTTATAGTTGTGATAAATAGTGATATTTGTATTTAGAGCATTTACTTTTGCTGTTTTTTTTTTTAATAATCTTTAAATATTTCTTTCTGTCAAATGGTTAAATTTATATTGTTATTATTTAAAGTATCCTGTTCACACATTCTAGGGTATGATTATGCCAAACTGTATGTTATTATTATTATTTAGACAATAGTCATTATCTTTTGCTTTAAAATAGTAGAATTTTCCTTCTGTTTTTGTTTTCCATATAGTTGTTAAACATTACACCACTTGTATTTTCAGTAGCATATGAAGCTAACAAATACAATGTTCATAAAACAGGTTTGTCACAGATAAGAAATCCCAAATATTAAATGCCATAATATCACTCTGTTTCAGGATACATCATGTTTTCTTTTTTCTTTTTATTTTTTTTAAATATTGCAAAAGTTTACATATGTTAATGAAAGGTCATTGATATGTTAATGAAAGGTAATTGATATTCTGGAACATTCGATCGGGTCTGGATTACAGTAGTATAAATGAACAGAGAGCTCTTTATGATTGAACTGTGCATAGCTTCAATAAAAAACACACCCTACAAATGATAACCTTAGCATATAACAAAAGAAAACAAATCACTTTGTACACAGCCCAAACAAATGCCTTGTCAAGGAAGTTTTTACAGCCCTCATGAAAAAGACCTGATACAAATTGGAAAGATGAAAGACGAATTCTCTTAAACAATTTATTGTATGAAGGTATCCTCTTTACAGTAAAATTTTTTGTAACTATTACTTTCTATCTTCTAGGACATGGATTGTTTAGTGCCTACAAAGAATCCCTCTTCGCATGATTATGAAGATCCTGATACTGTTGATGCTGCAGCAAAAATACATGCTCAAAACGTTGCAGAATCTGAAGTATCACTGCACTCCAATACAGTTACTCAGCGGGAGTATCTAACATCTGAACCTGTCAGTAAAGTTGAAGACAGTTTGCCAGTGTACCAGAAGAATAAACACACAACAGACAGTGGATTTTACAGTGCCAAGGGAGCAAACTCAGACAGTGATAGTTGTCATGAGATCTGTGATCTGAATTTGAGATATGCAGATACAAATTCAGTAACATTAAAAAATGTTACTTCACTGTCAATTAAAGAAAAGAAATCTGATAAAAATAAAAACACTAGCCTGACAGAGAGAGGTAGACAGGATAACTGTATTTATTGTCGTAGGCTTTCAGCAGCTTGTCAATGTGCTTGTTTAACTCATTCTTCACCTTCATTATCTTCTGCTACAGCAGGCTCAAAACCATTGGAAATGGTAACTTCAGAATCTCATTTACATGTCTGTAGATGTACCCCAGTCTCCCAAAATACTGATAGCAATACTGCCAACTGTGAATGTCCATGTTCTGCACATGATACAGACTTGGTGCAAGCTGACAGCTCAATGAGCACAAGCCTAACTTTACTGCATCCAAATATAAAGGAGTATTCTATGGTTTTGAAAAAATCTGAAAGGTCATTGAAGTCTTCAGAATCTTACAGTGAGCTGCAAAATGGAACAATGAACATGACTGAGCATGATAGTTATAATATCCTCAGTAATAATGATACCAGTTGTGTTAATTTTTCTTTGGTACGAAAATGTTCTTTAGAAACCGATGACAACGAAACATCATATTATGAACCTATCTGTGCACTTGACTACACTGCCAGCACTTCAGCAGATGAAAATCTAATTACATTAAACAGCAACAGCTCGCCTGTGACAACATCTGGCAGTAACAGCTTTAACCACCTACCTCCTGTTCCTACTTCTCCATTTCCACATCCGGTACTAACAATGTCACATACGCCTACAGCTACATCATCAGAATCAAAAACACATATTTTCAAGCAGTCTGATGTCTGGACAGAAACCAGCCAGAGTCCAGGTTTAAGTGGATCAAGCATAATGCATTCAGAGGAAAATGAGAACAAAAATGCCAGTGTATCCACTTTGAAGTACATGTCTGAAAGCAAAGCAGAAACTTCAGCTTCAGAAAAAGGCAGTTTTGATGTTGGTGATCAATCTTTGGCATGTGAGTATTGTTGTATCTTCTTCTTAGCATTCACCAGGTGTAAACTCTGGTGGAAAGTTCGTGTTGTTCATCATTTTCGAAACTTTGGTCTTGTTCCAAAACTTGTCTTTCATGCACATATGTTTTACAGAAATGACTTGTTTTTTTGCAGACTGTTGGTTCCTCACCTCTCAGGCAGATCCACACTAGCTTCAAACGAAACTTCCCTAATTAGTCACCTTGTATGACATGCTTGTTACAACGCAGTGGATCAACTCCCCCCCCCCCCTTCCCCCCACCGTAAAAAATGGGGTCCAAAACCCATAAGGGGAGAACAGTTGTAAAGAAAACAATGGTGTCATTTTTCTTGTAGTTTCTTATGAACATTTGTCCTGCTTCTTTCATTTTTTGATTGCATAATACACAGTATTCACATAACAAGCCTGTTGTGTCTTATGCTTGTGTCATCCATGATTTTTATCTTATCTGTCTGTGGAATAAAGGATGTTGTATAAAAGGACGTGGTATAAAAGGACATCTGTCATTACTCTCAGGTATAACCTCACTTTAGATTTATAGTATACAGATACATAATGATGCCACAACTTATTATTTAGTAAATGTTTGTGCTGCTGTGGACTTTCTTATCACACAAGAACATTAAGACTAGCTCCAAGATTTGGAGGAAGTCCAGCAAGCTTCTCATTTGTAGGGATTTCAGTGTGCTGAATAGAGCTTGAGACAGTACTAAGTAAAACAGACAATGAAATGTCACAGCAAAGGCTATGGTGGACATAGTCTGCATAAATGGGAGGAGACGAGCTAGAATGTCAATGAGACCTGATGATGCAGACATGGCTACTGACTTGGCATCTGTTAACCAGTCAGCTGTACTAGATACAAAATGGAGTGTTCTATGTGATCTTCAAAGTGACTCCTGTTATGCTCAGTCCTGATTTCTAAAGCTAGCAAGATCAGGGATGAGAACATGGAAGACTTAAATATGAGAGGACAAACCGCCCTTGTTAAATGCATTTGACAGAAAGTATCAACAGAACCACCGACTGTACTTTTTGCAGTCTTCATTGTGGACCCCAGAAGTAGAACAGGCGTGGAAAGCAAAGAGAGCAGCAGTTAACTACAGAAAGTGCAAAAATGCATGCTAGGAATACTCAGGCACTTGGCCATCAGTGTTAAGATTCGCTAGCTTTGGAGAGGTGAAAAGTTTAATTAAGTAGCCTGCCAATAAATCGCAAAATGCCTAGGTGAGCCTCACCTCCTCGTGGTGCATGCTGAAAAACTGAAGCTGCGAGATTTCAGGCTAACAGGGCAATGGCTCACCTGGGAGGAGATAGGTGAAGGACCTAGCAAGCCAGCAATGTTGTAAATAACTGCTACTATGCAAGAAAGAATATTGAATTCTAGAACAGACTGTGTGTAGTTTCACCCATTGCACATCCTTACATCACGTTCATGTCAATGGTACTGCAGTCAACCAAGTATGAGAATTCAAATATTTAGGAAGCATATTTTCAGAAGATGGCAGACTTGATAGAGATAGAAACCAGAGTACAGAAGGCAGATGTTGTCACCTACCACTGCTTAGACACCCAAATGTTTCCCTTCCAGTAAATAGCATCTTCATTCCAACTTAATGCTATCAGTGCCAAAATGGACAATGAATGGGACACTATAGCAAAAAGTAGCAACCTGTGAAATGTGATGTTTTTCTAAGGTCATTAACAACAAAAGAAGGGACAGGGTTATGAACACTAGCATTAGATAGAAAGTTGGAATAAGACTCTGTCTTAATTATATTGACAGACAAAGAAGCAATGGTTTGGCCATCTAGTGAGAAAGCAGCAAAACCAAACTGCATGTAAGATTTTGTTTTTACAGCAGAACATGTGGGAGGAAGGTGAGGGGAAGACCAAGAAAGATATGGATAAATGCAAGAAGATCAACAGGTCCATCAACCAAGCCACCTGAGAAGCACAAGACAGATACAAAACCATGATACTGGGCTACAGCCTTGGTATCAGTGAGACAACAAATGAAAAAAGAAAAATAAGAAAAATACATGATTGTACCTGACTGAACGAGCATGTTGAGAAATGTGGAGACAGATATGCCCCATGCAGACTGGCAAGCATTGCTTTAGAAGTTAGCATCCTCTGGGAGTGAGTATACAGTGTGCAGACACAAATAGATCATTAGTTTAGGTTTAAATATAGCTGAATCTATTCAGTGTTAATAAACGTGGAACATATAAATTTTTTATAGAAAGAACAATTATATCTATTTATACCTAAAGGAAAATTTGGACATTTTCTTGCAACCTAAGTGCAAAATGTGAATACTGGCTACATTAAATTGTCTTAACTACTTGTACAAAGAAGTTGCTGAGCACATTCTAGTATGGGTGGAAAAAGCCATGCAAAATACTATTCAAAATGAGAATACTGGTCACAAAGATCACCCCTGGCAAAAGCAGCCACCTTCTAAAATCTGGACATGTGGTAATTAAAAACAATGCATTTCATATCTTTCATACGTCAACCTGTGGCAGAACGCTAAGATTTCTTGAAGCTTCTGCAATTCGTCACCTGCGCCCAGAACTCTGTATACAGAAAGAGATAGCTCTGTCTTTAAAGCTGCCCTGGTAAAAACAGGCAGTTATGTTTTGATCGGTGTTGAAATTGTATTTCAGTTATAAAGGATTCACTTATTTTCTTCATTTATGTAATTGTTACTGTAGTATGCACCTGATGAGATACAGTAAAATATGCCAAGCAATAAATTGTGCAATCTATTGTTTGTGTCTTCTTTGTTCAAATTTACAACGGGGAAACATTGCTTTGATTAACTACTGTATTTATCACTTTTAGGGTGGTTTACGATGAGGGTTGCTCCCTGAGGTTTTAAAGCCAGACTTCTAGTACATTTTCATGGGCAGACTTTTTTGTGTTTGTCCCTGACTGAAAAATCTCAATCCCTTTTTGAGGATCAAACCCTTATTTCCCTAATGACAGTCCGACCCTTTTCCTCTCATTCAGCTGCTCCTCTGCTCACTATATTAATGTTATTTAATTGTAATGGTTTGTGTTAGCTTTCTACAAAAGTCACTGCATTCAGTTTTTTCTTTTTCAGGTGAAAGTTCCATCACATCTGATGTTATTATAGCATTGATCAATAATCCAGATACACCAATGAATGAACTCAAGAACATGATTCACTGTCTGAAATGTCAGCAGTCAGAAATTGAAAGAAATAGGTACAGTTTATAAATTATAATTTGTAATTGTAAAGAACAATTTCACCATAGGGAAAAATAGTTCTATAGCAGCTACTCCCACTGCGGTGGAAAAATTAGGTCTTGATCATCTCAGGTGATCCCCAGAATCACAGATGAGCTCATTCTTGTTGGTTCACACCCACCCATATCACTAAGCCATCTAGATATTTATTTCTTTGCTTTAACTTACTTTTTTTTTTTCCATCAGTCGTGCCAGTCATTACCAAGTCTCAAAGTCCATTCCTTCACATAACATGTATGAAAAACTCCACCTATATCTCATTTCTCTAAACAGTTTTTATCTGTCTCAAGAAAGACTGCCTCTTTTTTTTCCCCATCATTCCATGTTATTCTTTACATTCACAAAAACCATATTTCTGCGGCAAATACAAGTTGGAAAAGTTAATTTAAACGCATCATTACAATTATTTTATTAACAATTTTGGGGGTCCCAAGCAGTTGTTACTTTATTTTCTTTAATATGAAGTTCTTAACCAAACAGTTTTTTAGTTTTTATGAATGAAAATAATATTATTGGATAGAAGTGAGTAAAAATACAAATATGAGAGGGTAGGGTAAGTTAAACAATTGTCTGGGACAGTAATCACTAAGAAAATTCTATTGTGTATGGAGTAATGAAAAAAATGTATATAGTGAATTAACACATTCTAATTAGTCATCATTTTTGTTGAATTGCCTACTTTATTAATAAAAATTGGCCTTAACTTGTTTTTAGTTCACACCATAAGGCATTGGTCATCATGTTTGTCCACAGCCTTTTAAGTTGTGTACTTCTGAAGATTGGTGTTACTAGAAATGTTGAAGAAATCAAACTTTTATCCAACACTTATATTGCACACTCCAATTTCTTCTTCTCGTATCAAGACCAAATAATCTGGATTGGCCACTTCTGATCTAGATAACTTTTTCTCATTCTCAGTTAATTTCTTTAAACTTCTTTCTTTATACTTTATCTTTCTGTATTTACACTGTTTTCATCATTCTGTTAGAAAATTATGTCTTTGCAGCATCCATATAAAAATTGCCTATTCTCTTCTGCATTTAACTAATTCCATCTGTGTTATCAATGTACACAAATGTTTAAACATACAAACTTTCTTCAGACTTGTCCTATTTCATTTGATGTTGCATCCTGGAGAAAATTGTTCTTTATTGTTAGCATTTTCTCAGTTTCTCTGCTATTGACCAAGACATTATTTTGACTATTGCAGTTATATGAAGTGTATCCTTCAACTGCCTTTCATTCTCAGAGATCAGTACCATTTCATCAACATATAGTAGATTGTTTACTTTGTGTCCATCAACTTCTTCTTCTTCTTTCATTCGCTTGAAATAGATTATCTATATCTGCAATGTTGTCTCTAATATGACTTGAACTGATAAACTTATATAGACATATCGGCTCTCCTTGCAGTACCGGACGAGGGCTGGACGCGGACTGGACGGCGTAGTTTGGTTTAGTGGGAGTTCTCTCCCTTGGCTGCACAGGAAACAGTGAGCGGAAAAGTCACGAAACAAATGACATACAGTTCATCATCATCATATAGTTGCGTGTAGGGTTGCCCACGCTTGCGTGTAGGGTTGCGTTGTCATCATACGGTTGCGTGTAGGGTTGCGGAGTCATCATACCGTTGAGTGAAGGGTTGCGTAGTCATCATACGGTTGCGTGAAGGGTTGCGTAGTCATCATACTGTTGCTTGTAGGGTTGCGTAGGGTTTCGGTTTGGTTTAGGGTTAGGGGTTAGGGGTAGGGTTAGGGTTAGGGGTAAGGTTAGGGGTTAGGAGTAGAGTTAGGGGTAGGGTTAGGGTT